AAATGAGTTCTGTATTTTTGTCTATCATTTTTCTCAATTACATGTACTACCTCTGTCCCAAAAAGAGTTGCAAATTTGACTGTTCTTAGTCAAACAGTCTCGTTTTGTTCACTTAATTAGAATGTCAATTATTAATTATATTCTAATTTGGAGTTTACAACTTTAAAGATATTTTAATGTAGTTTTTGAATATGTAAATTTTAATTATTAAAAATTGAATTAATTATCCAAACGGATGGTTGACTTTTATTATTGGTTGACAAAAATTGTTGACTTTGCAAAACAAATTGGGACGGACGAAGTATGTAATTATTTGTCATACAAATTACTACTACGTACTCCCTCCGTCCTCTTTTAAATGTATCGTTTTACCATATTGGGATGTACCTATTTAATTGCCTCATACCTTATTTGGTAAACTTTGTGTGGCTCAAAATCATTCTTACTTTATTCTTACTTTATCAATTAATATCAAACACACAAACTCACTTTTTTAAAAACACGTGTCACCATCTCCCGTCCCATTTAAAAGGGGACGGAGGGAGTACAACATTTATCTTTTTAAAATAATGGTACAACAAAACATTTATAGCTGTAACGTCTGCAAATAAGGCCTACCATCAGATCAGGTGGATAAAGAATCATTTTCAAAAGAAAGCCCGAACAAGACCTGAATTAATTCAAATATTTGGATTGAATATCATTAACCATAATGGATTTAAGCGTCATGAATTCAGGTCTGTACGTCTTTTGGACTAAAATTAGCGTTATTTTTATCCAAAAATTAGCGTTATCATATACTCCGTATAAAATATTTATCTGATGTAAGAAGTAACAAATGATCTTAATGAAGGATATTATTATTTCATATTTTATCGATCTGGACCTACACTCCTCCTCAAGAGGCAAGACTGGACATTTTGTCTAGATTGTGTCATTATTATACTCCCCGTTTTGATTGTCCTACTTTTTTTGGATTGTCCCAAAATGAATGTCTTTTTTCCTTTTTTGGCAAGAAATATATGGTTCTTATCATTTCACTTTATTCTACTCAAATCTCAATCACAACTTTTACTTTTCAACAACTTTATTAATAATCGTGCCAAATTGAAAGTAGACAACCAATATTGGACGGATGTAGTATTATTTTTTCGTCAGTTCATCATTGTCATTTGTTTATAATAACGTCATTATACTTTTGTGGGGACCCACATCATAATTATGAATCGATTTGACACATATTAAGATTTTGTGTTCCTTTCTAAAAGATCAATTTGATAGAACTAATAGTCCATGATCTTAGGGTTTGTTTGCAAACACAACTTAAGTGCTTTTAACTTTTTAAAGTGATTTAGAGAAAAGTGATTAATAGTAAAAGTTGGTAGTGTTTGAGAAAAAAGTGATTTTGAAAAATAAAAGTTGACAGTGTTTAGTAAAATAAGTTCTTTTTATATAATAGAAAAAGTAAAACCACTTTTTGCACAAAAGTAGAGATTTTTTTTTAAGTAGAAGTTGTCATTTGAAAACACTCTTTTTATCTTTTTAAGCCAAAAGCTGGAAAGTGCTTTTTTCAAGTGTTTACAAACAAAGCCTTAATGTATCACATCATTATTTCATATTATTTCATATTTTACCGGCAAGAGAATTAAAAAAAACATGTTTTAGTCCAAAAATAATGTGCATCAAAATTTGATATTTCGAACTCTGACAATATATAGGTATGGTGCTGCTATACTATGCTTAAATTTTAATTTCAGTATAAAGAAGCTTTGGTATGGCATGTTATATTATGTACTTATTTAATTATCCGAACCTTTGGTACGGCAATGATACAATGATTTTGAGAAAAATGTAAATGTTATTTGAGAATAATAATATTATTTAGAAATATACTAATTCAAATATATTTTGAGAAATAATTTTGATGAGTATATAATATAATGGGTTATTGATTATAATTGTAATATTATAAATGTATTATTTTTAATATTTGATGATTAAATTGTTATTTAAGAGTTTTAATTATTTTCTAAAATAGAAACCAACCTTTAAGTGACAACTTATAAATTAGCACACCCATTGCAAAAAATTACTAATAGAAAGCTTTGCCCCCAATAGAAATATGTCATTGCCCCCATTAATATGGGATTGTGATCCTCTGCCGCACGACATAGTGCCTTGCTCGCAGGGGACCGTCGGATGAGAAGAAGAGAAGCCTGGGGATCTTCACCTCAATATCTCCGATCGTCCATATTGTGATCGGACGGTTCTCTACAGCCGGGCACCGTGCCTTGCCTTGAGTATGGCAGAGGTTCCGGATCCATTAATATGTATGTGCATCCGCCCCTGGTGATCATGTGGATGTCAGAATCGGGTTGCTTTATCTATATTGCTTTAATGAATTCTATGCTATAATTGCATTTAAATATGTACTTGAAATAATAAGCTAAATACAATCTAATTTGTAAGGGGGTCGTGCAAGAACTATTAATTGAATAAATTCGAATAGCAAATCAGCAATTAGAGTATATGAATCTAGTGTTTTGAATACAACAAAGATGGCAATTCTTGAACATCAGGGGTTCATTCTCTTCGTTTATAGTCTACTACTTTATTTATGCTAAGAGCAACCACAACGCATTCATGTCTAGTAGTCTAGATAAAGTGTGTCACATAATTAAATTAGACTGAGACTTATTAATTTATGCTCCAACCATACGAAGTCTGGCTGACATGGCAAAAAAAATGTAAGACGGTGTGGACTTGACGTGAGCATAACTCTTGGGATCCCTGCAAAAACGCACCGGCCATATGGCCCATATATATCACCTCCCTATAAATATTTTATGATAGAATTTTAATATTATAGGGTAATATTTTAATATAGAATGAATTATTGGTGTAATTCAATTCCACATGGACATTAAACTTGAATTTTGAGACTAGGCATTGGAAACTTACTCTGTATGTTAATGTCCAATCACTCCACTATTTATTATGTGTAATAAAAAGCCATTTATTAATTTGACATTTGACATAATTTGATTAGACTATTGTGGTCTGTGGATGCTCTAAGAGTCTTTCTTGTTGATCGGCCCAATCGTGCGACAAAATAGTAGCCATTCCTATTCTTGCGAAGGTAGTTGCTTAATCTTATCCCAATGCTACTTCCCCTCCTTCGTGGGTTGTCATTATCCATTTTTCCTTGTTAGACATTTAGTCGGGACGGAGGGAGTATATGAATTATTATTATTATCATTACTGACTGATCACTAATAATGCAATAACATCGGTCATAAAAAACAATATAATGGCAGTAATTTTAACAATATAATGGCAGTAATATTAATTTGTTTAGTCGTAATATTGATCAGGTAAACACCAGAGAAGGGCAATAATTTTAAAAACAGTATGATGCCATTAACAATATAATGGCAGTAATTTTAATTTGTTGAGTCTTAACATTGGCCAGTTAAAAATCACAGAAGGGCAATAAGTTTAGGTGAGGAGTAACGTTGGTCAGTAAAACAAGAAAAGGGCAGTAAGATGGTTTAATCTTAGTAGTGAAGAGCAATAAAAAGAACATGTGAGTGACCTAGTATGACATCCATAAAGGCATGAAAGTACAAATGTACAATAAAATGACCGAAAATGAGAATATGCAATATCTAGTAGTACATTCTTTAAAATGACCAGAAATACATTTAACACTACCTAATAAGACAAGCAGTTACCATATTTCTAGGATTGCTATAATGATAAGCCAAGCAGTTACCATATTATTAGGATTCCTATTTTATAAAAAGGATAGCTGTGCATATCATATCCGACTAATCAGGAAAATTAAAATAGTAAACTACTTCCATATTAATTAATCATGTTAGGAGGGCAACTGTGGAATTAAAAACATTTAAAACATAAATAAAAAGTAATTAATTATGCACATATTGTAGTGGGAAATAAACTTATAGAGTCATGTATTGAGAAATGAGAGATGTTTCAGTCATACGAGTGATAATATTCTCTTTTTCTTTCTATAAAAAGCATTTGAGAATGAAATTAGAAACGTACGAGCATAATTCAAGGAAACCCTGCAAAAATGCATCGGCCATAGGGCCCATATATATCACCTCCCTATAAATATGTTACGATAGAAGGTTAATATTATAGGGTAATATTTTAATATAGAATGAATTATTGTTAATTCAGTTCCACATGGACATTTAACTTGAATTTTGAGACTATGCATTGGAGACTTACCCTATATGTTAATGTCCAATCACTCCACTATTTATTATGTGTAATAGAAAGTGTTGCATTGTGAATGCTCCAAGAGTCTTTCTTGGTGATCGGCCCAATGGTGCGACAAAATAGTAGCCATTCCTATTCTTGCGAATTGAAGGTAGTTGCTTGATCTTATCCCAATGCTACTTCCCCTCTTTCGTGGGTTGTCATTATCCGTTTTGCCTTGTTACTTGTTAGACATTTAGTTGGGCTCCGACTCCTCTAACAAGCTTCCTTGGCCCCATCTTCACAATATGTCTTCCTTGGGCCTAATAAATCCCACCCAACAGCAATTTAGAAGAAATTACATTTCGTTGGTACGACTAATACATTTCAACGTGGCTGGAGTATTATTAATAATTAATTACTCCCTCCATCCCATAAAATAGTTTCCGCATTCACTTAGATCAAAGTTTAAGAAAGTGAGAATAAAGTGGAAATGTATAGTTGAGGTTGTGTAAGAAAAAAGTAAATGAAAACACTTTTTAAGGATGACCCAAAAAGGAACCCGGAAACTATTTTGCAGGACGGAGGGAGTATATGAATCATCATCATCATTATCACCATCACCATCACCATCACCATCACCATCACCATCACCATCACCATCACCGATTGATCACTAATAATGCACTTCTTTTCCGTTGTTTAAAAAAATGATTAATGCACTTTCAAGTTTTCTATTTAAGCCCGACAGTACGGACTCACAGACAACCCAGCTATACCACCTATACATATTTAATATTTTCATCCTCGAAAGGGAGTCAAAGCCCCTAATTTTTCGTTAATGAATTAATATCTGATGAATTAGCTTATGCGAGCTTATAAGCATGGCTTCTCTAGTGAATCGGCTGAGCCTGGCCCTTGGTCTCGTAGCCTTAGCGTTAGCCGGCTACTCCATTTACCGGCACACACAAACAGCCGTTAAGGGGCAGCTTGAGGTTAACCCAACTTGGCTGGAGTCGGCGCCCAACATATTGTCTCTAGGTTCCGGAAAATCCTCCGGCAAAGTTTTCGACCAAGCCTGCGCATTCTCCGCCGTGAAAGAAGTGGTGGATGCTGCCATAGATGCGGAAACTCGGATGGGTGCTTCCCTCATTCGTTTGTTCTTCCATGATGACTGCTTTGTCGACGTAATTAAGTCTCACCCACCTACCCGTCCTCTTATATTCTTTAACGTTATATATATACGGAGTATGGAGTATTACATTTTTTAAATATTTGATTAAACTCTTTATAAATTGACTTTCTTAAACTCTGATCTAAATCGCTCATTTTTTTGTTAACTTTAAAATATTTGCTACACTTTCCTTTATAAATTTTTCATTTAAACGTAAACAATTATCCTTACATTTTCAGCATTTTCAGCATCTCGATCCTCTTAATTTCCTAAGCTATATGTACTGTACCCTACTACTTTACCCTAACCTTTGTATAAAAAATTAATGTTTCAAACAAACATATACAAATGTACTCTCTCCTTTTGTCTAATTGCGGTTTACGAGATTTGACCGACGATATAACAAACAAATTCTTGTTCACACTCAAATTACTTGTAGCAACAAAATTTTTACATATTCAAATACTTCTATTATATTAAAAGTTCCGAGTAATATTAAAAATGAATTTTAAGCATATTCAAATTACTTGTAGCAACAAAATCAAATTTGATAAAAGTTTGATACGAAGTATTTAAAGTAAGGGATTAATAATGGTTTGTGTTGATCAAGTGAATAAGAAACATGATCATCAAATTGGGATGAAGGTAGTAATATTTTACAAAATACGGAGCACTGTATAACTTTTAATAATCAATGAGCATAATAGTAAAATACGGTATTGTTTTCAAATTTAAATTGCACTTCCATAACAGTGTCCTTATAGTAACCATGATAATATGTTTTCAAAATTTTAATCATATTTCAAAGAAATCTCTTACGTAAATAATGATAAGAATGGAGATACATGATATAGATACATGAAACTAACTATAGATGCAAGTTAAACCATTTTAATTAATAAGATATTTTAAGTATTAATATGTGGCAGACAAAACTGAGATAAAACCGATAATGATTAGGGATAGGGTTACCCCCAAAAATGTTACCAAAATATAACTTATTTATAAAAATATGACTAATGGTTGCTACAATATTTAATTGAATGTCATGGTAATTTAAGTTTATAAAATGAACATAAGGTACCATGATAACATTACTATTCTGTGACATTTTTGTAAACAATGTTTTTTAGTCATTAATATGTAATAATTTCTAATATTTAGTACTTATATTATTTCTGTGTTGATATATTATTTGATTATTTGATTTAGTAAGAATATGGAGTCATAGAGAATAAATTTCCAGGGTTGCGATGGAGGGTTGCTTCTCAAGGACACGGCTACTTTCACCGGGGAGCAAGGAGCGGGAGGAAATGATAATTCGGTGAGGGGCTTCGAAGTAATAGAGAAAGCTAAGCAGAACGTGAAAGCCAAATGTCCCTCTACTCCCATCTCCTGTGCAGATATCCTATCCATTGCTGCCCGTGATTCTTACACTAAAGTATGTTCTTTTTTCTTTTACACATTCTTACAATCTTACTTGTACAATCGATGGAGGAGCTGGGCGGGGGCATGCAGGCGCAAGCGCCCCCATTTCGGGCCAAAAAAATTAGTAGAATATTTTCTTTTAGACTGTTTTCAGTCCCAGACCAGACCAAACCAGACCAGACCAGATCAGACCAGACCAGACCAGACCAGATCAGATCAGATCAGATCAGATCAGACTAGACCAGACCAAACTTCCAGAGTTATAAAATACACAGAGACCAGACCAGACGGTTCAGACCAGACCAGATTAGACCGGACCGGACCAGCAAATTTCAGTCCAAAAGAAAACATCCTTATAATAGATTTAATGATCCTTTTTTTCAAATATGAATACTCATTAAAGACAATTTTACATTAAGTATTAAAATAAAAAGCAAAATCTTTCGGGAAACGTGTCTCTATGAATACAAGTACGTATTGACTGCAACGTACGTCACTTATTTGAATGCAAGTGTGGATTGTTTTAGACCTTTAATGCCATACGAGTTGACTTTTCATGGTTATAGTGCAAAAGAGTATTGTGATTAACGAATATGTTGTCACATTTCTTGAAACAACATGATCAAAACTTTCTCGAGACTATGTTGGATTCCCTCCTCAATGGGAAAATTCATGAGAATTTTAGAATTTACAAAGATGTCTACGATTTTGTATATGCGTGTAGAGAAGTAGCTAGTATTGAATGTTCTAGAATAATATTGGTAAGTTTTCTATAAAAGTGTGGAACTCACTAAAACCGTGCGGGAGAGTGTAGAAGCCTCTAAAACATTTTGAAGAATTGTGGAGTTCTCTAGATCCCTCCATTAGATTAGAGAAGCTTGTGGATACTTCTTGGAAGAATGTAGATGTGTAATGGTGTATAAAAAAATCTAAAGGAGATTTGATGAGATTAGTATAGATAGGGGTAAGACTGCTCATTTTTATGAGAACCTTTTGAGTTTTGAGTGTGTAGATGAGTGTACAAGAGTCCTATGAGCTCGTTTTCCGATGCAAAATTTTGAAAATATTGAAACTTGTACGATTGATTTACCCAGATTATAGATATGAGTTAAGTAGAATGTAATGACTAATTTGTGCTAATGTATTACATTTTTTATTGTTTTTATTATATTTTGAGAAAATATACTATAAATATTAGCCTTTGGTACGCCCCCCTCGAAAAATCTCTGGCTCCGCCACTGTACAATAATACAAATACCATACTCGTACCCAAAACTAAGTTTTTTTTATATATATGCAATTTTTTTTTGTGTTTCACCATAAAAGAAAAAAGTTATCGGACGAATAAGGTACGTAGTACTCCACTACTCCGTATGTTTTTGTAATAATGATACACGCACCTTACTTTTTTTCTTTTATAATACTCGTGCTTTGGCAAATTTTTCAGTCTCTTGCACTTTATATTTATTAATGTTATCCAGAGAACTTTAATCGTAATTTTTATTTATTTGCAAGAAAAAGTATTATATTGTGCGATCTTGTTTCTTTTGTATACATGGGGTCCATAATGTCCATTCAACATATCTTTGTATGGTTTATAATAGCACCTTTTAAACTATGTTATGGGTTGAATAGGCCGGTCCGCCGGTGGACCGGTGGTGGTGCATCAGGGATGGCAAAAAGCAATTCGGAGGGACCGACTACCGAGAGCACATGTAGAAAACATTTTTCTAATGGAAGTATTTCGTATATATAACAGCTACACAACTTATTACTTATTGAAAACTAAAAACCAACATGTCATTTTAAAAATTTAGAAATAGTGATTCTTACGAATGAATACAAATGGTTTTGAATAAAACGTTTGTTAATTTTTATCTAAATTATTTTTTGGAATTTATCTAAAAAAAAAGGTTACAGTAACAATAAAAATAGTTTTACACAGGTACAGTCTTCTCTGTATTTAATTAAGTGAGTTTCAATATCAACAAATAATATTGAAATACTCTGTACAATGCACTCTCCATCCAATTCAAGGCGTCCAAAATAACTTCTCTTTGATCATGTTTTGTCCATGTTTGGCCATTATTACCATTTAAGACCATAAGTTTTACCGAGTAAAATTTATTAGGTGTAGTAATGGACAAAAATTTATTGAAGTACGTGTAGTAATGTTTTTTTAATATTACTAATTAAAATATAATGGACAAAAATGTGACTTAATCAGGGGCGGAGCTAGGGGGTGCCCAAGCTAGGCCCTGGCCCACCCTAAATTTGAAAAATGTCAATATTTTTAGTGTAAAAAATTTCGTGTAATTTTTTTCCCAATAATATTCTTTGTACCGGCCCAGTCTAGCCCTGTGTCCTGGCTACGCCCCTGGACTTAATAATAGTGATCATAATATTGATAAAAATTTACGTCACAGTAACTTACATTTAGTTACTACGATGTAAATTTTGAACATCATTGTAATCACTAATACTTAGTAAGTAATATTTTTGTCCTTCATGTTTTAAAGAGTAATGTATATATAATTTTTTCTAATATTTTTCCATAAAAGGTATAAAAGGATTGAAATTTCAAACTAAAATTGATATTCTTTTAAAATTTTGTTAATTGCTGCAATAATGAAATTATTATATGCCATATTTCAGCATTAACTTTTTATTGAATGTGTACTTTCTAATGAAAAAGAGCTTCCAATTGCATTGATTTATTAATTACAAGACTAAAATGGTAGCGAGTAACATGTCAGAACTAATAATAGGCATATCCAAATATCAGTGGATTAAAATTGCAAATTTTTCTATTGTAATATCAACGCTATAATTATGACACTAGTTGTTTTTAAAGTTCTTTTCCAAAATGTTACTGAAATAAAACTTATTCACACAAATATGATTAATAGTTACTATTGTACATGTATAATGTAGTGTCACGATAACTTAACTTTAAAAATGGAACATATCATGATTTTATTACTACTTTAATCATAAATACTCCCTCCGTCCCGTTGGAATGTTCCCACTTTCCTTTTTTGGATGTCCCAGTGGAAAGTTCTCATTTCCCTAAATGGAAAGTTATCCTACATCAAAACAGTGTCAAACAGTGCAAAACAGTGTCAAACAGTGTCAAACAGTGTCCAAACAGTGTCCAAACAGTAAAATTTACCCCCTGGTAAGTTTATTTCCTTAATATGTGTGTAGGTCAAACCGGGAACATTCCAACGGGACGGAGGGAGTATGTAATTATATGTTGTTTTTAGTTGTACAGTTTTGTAACTTAATTCTAAATAACTTTCAAATACTCCCTCCATCCCATTTTATCAGTTTCATTTTTTTATATTGTCCCAAAATAAGTGTTTCAATCCCCTTTAATTTTTGGAAAGAAATATGAGGTTTACAATATTTCACTTTATTATAGTTAAACTTGAATAACAACTTTTACTTTTTCTACCACTTTATTAATAAGAATATCAAATCAAAATAGGACACGTAGAAGGGAACGTAGTAGTTAGAGTTGCACATTGAACCAATCATTATATTTTATCTGGTCGTCATGGCATGGGTATAACCGTATATTTATTTGGTGTACCGTACATATCATTCATTTGATTGAATCATATCACATTATCATTTTTAATTTAGATTTAACTAGTTCCACTGCTACATCCTCATTGGTCCATGTGGACAAATGTATAATACTTTTTGAGTACAATACTATCTAGCCATTTATATATTCACTGCTGATTAACAGTTTACCGGCAAAACATACACCGTGACACTGGGAAGAGGAGATGCAAGAACGGCAAACCTCACCGGAGCTAATACGCAGCTCGTCGGACCATCGGAAGACTTGGCATCCCAAACCCAAAAATTCGCCGACAAAGGATTCACCCAAACAGAGATGGTGGCCCTGTTAGGCATTCACACAATCGGCTTCGCCAGGTGTCCCCTTTTATGCGTTGACGATTCTTTCGTCAATCCTGCTCGGGCCTCTTCTCTGCATTGCAACTGCCAAACAAGCCTTAACAACACGGATTTGGTCGGTCTGGACCCCACTCCTCTAACGTTTGACCGACGTTATTACGCCGACGTCGCAAACAGGCAGGGTCTGCTGTTCTCCGACGATGAGCTGATGAGGAGCAATGCGAGTAGCGCCGCCGTCAGGAGGTACCGAGATGATATGTCGGCTTTTTTGGCTGACTTTGAAATTCAAAATTTTAAAATAGTACTGCCATGTTTTTATTCCTAAAATAGAAGTATCAAGTATTACAGCCAATTTGAAAAATAGTGTCATGTTTAAAGTCTGGTACTGCCAAAACATGACAGTAATCAACCCTATTTTGGGAATAAAAACACGATATTCCTATTTTGGAATATACTAATGTTTTTAGTTCTATTTAGGATAATTTTCGTTAATATTTAAACTTATTTTCATACACATTAGTTTGTCATAATCAAGGACGGATTGGATGGGAGGCAGGACATTGAAATGGTAAAAAAAATGAGAAAAAATTTACAGAACAAGATCGATCATGATGATATGACCACGACTCCACAACCACAACATCAACAAAGCTCAGAAAGGAGGAGGGATGGACAACCTTATCCTCAGACAAGTGAATCAGATCACCAGAATCAGTAGCCACCTCCTCCTAAATCACCAGCTCAGCTTCTCATCCCTCTGGAGGAATTAGATGCTAACTAAAGAGGAGTACAAGCATGGAGAATGTGGAAACTGTCACCTGCAGAATAACAAGCTCAAAAATTTGACCCCACGATTAGGGACACATTGTCAAAGCATGGATGAACACTGGTGATCTTAGAACATGTCAGTCAATTGAAGAGATAACTAAAGTGTACTTTGCCAAGGAAGCAGCATTACTGGGCAAAACTCCCATTCAAGAGGACTTATCAAAACAAATTGCCCATCAGTCACTCTAACCAAGGAGACAACATGTGATATCAAGTGATGAAGAAGATAATCAAGGACTGCAAATGGCACTAGAGGAATCTATGTGGATCAATCATCCAACACCTGGAGAAACCTCTAAGGTACACATATCATCCTAACTTCCTTCCTCCACTATCAGTTTTGATGTGCTGTTACAAGCAACAGAAGAAAGAATGGGTGCTAAGATAGAGGTCCAACAAAAGATCATTGAACAACAGGTTCAAACACACCTAGAGATGGCCAAACAAATTCAATCCATCAACTCTCTCTTACATGAATTTAAGAGCGTCCAACAAGGAAGGTTGTGAAGAAAAAGAAGGTGGCTCATACAGCTACAAATCAAGAGAAGCCAGCTGATCATCTGACATTAGCTGAATCAGAGAAACCAGTTGATCACCAAGCTCCTATTCAACCAGAACCTGAAAAATCAGCCGATAAAAATCTTACTCAATCAGAAAATCGAGGTGATCATCTCATTGCTGCCACAACAGCAACAGAAAAACAGGAGCCTACTGCCAAACTAACCTAGCACATAGTTGTTGCTCTACCACCTCCTTCCTCTACACCAACACCCATGCTTGAAATTTGCCAGGTACTTCAACTTCCTCCTCCTACACTGGATATCTCTTACCTTGATCCAGTGATAAAATAAATAAGGGAAGACAATGCAAATGTAGCTGCTCAATGCAAATAGGGCTACAAAAATATGGTAATAGGTGAACAAGTAGAAACTTCTGATGCCAAAAAGGGGGATGAAAGAAAGAAAACAAAAAGGAGCACTCTACTCCTCGAAGGAATATATATCAAATCCCCCAGAAGGTTCAAGGCTGAAGAAAGGACCTTGGAAAGCTCCTTCAACACAAGGGTTGACAAGAGGAAAGGAAAGAGCCATTACAAGACAAATGAACAAGGAAATCAGAATGACAGAAGAAAAGGTCAAAGGCAAGAAAGAAACCAAACGGAAGAAACCACAAGGATCTCCAACAAGGTCAATTTCCTCCATATCCTGCTTTGAAACAGAAGGAATTAAAGAAGTCCTTAAAGATGTCAAAGACTCTTCTGTTCCTTAAAATGTCCCTTGTGGTTTAAACTTGATCATGCACCTTGTAATTGGTAGGTCCGTTGATGCACTTATTATAGACTTTAAACTTGATCATGTACCTTGTAATTTACGTATACATGCATCCCATGAAGCAAGGAAGTACTCATAAAACAAAAAGGAGTACTCACAAAAGAAGAAGTACCAAAACAATGAAAAGAAAAGGGGAACTAAAAGAGTTGGCTGAATTAACAAAAAACAGAAGCCCACCGATTTTCAGGCAGCTGATTTTTAGATACACATTTTTCAGCTAAGTCAAAAGGTCTTCAAAATTACTCAGAGTAAAAAGCAAAGTAAAAATTATTTACATTTGCAACTTGTTTAAAAAAGAAAGTCACGAGATTCATACAAGTGGGCTGAGACTTTGTGCGAAGATTATAAGTCAACTCATACTCTCTTATTCAACAAAGTGTAAGCATGGGCTCAAGAATTGAACAAAAAGAGACCCAGGCTACTTCTAGTCATGACAAAAAGAGAGCATGCTGAAGACAGAAGATCAAGTTAATGCATCAATGTTCAAGATTGAATTTTCTCAACCAACGAAGATATTCAACAACTAAGAAGTCTATAAATACCCAAGGAATGTGATGAAGAAAATTCAGCGAGCTTAAGGCAATCAACACAATAATACCCAGAAGATCCTGCAAAAGAGAAAGTGTTAATTAATCACTCCACTCTTAGCTTGTTCACATTTCTTTAAGCTCTTAGACTAGTTCACTGTGAAAATTCATACGAGAGCTTAGAGTAGTTGAAAAAAGAAGTTGTAGCACCTTTGGAAGAATTTGTGATACAAATCCAAAGAGTGGGTAGAATAGGACATGAGTAGCTATTGAATCATTTTGATTCATTAGTGAAAAACCTAGGAGTTAGGTCTGAGTAACTTTTGAATCATCTTGGTTCATTAATGAAACACCTAGAGGCAAGAGTAACTTTGAGTGGGTTGTACTCCTTGTGAAAACCTGACAATTTATGCCTATGATCTAGGGTAAACTAGTCACTAAGTGTATTAGTTAATAGCTTAGTGGAAATCCATCTGAAATAGAGTGAGACTGGATGTAGGAGGATTACACCACCTCTGAACCAGGATATATCATTGTGTCAACCTCTTTAAGCTATTCTAATTACTAATCAAGCTCTACAAAACTCCCAGATAACAGCCTTCTCAAAACGCCTATTTCAACAGCCTCTTGTTTTTGCAAAAATAGCTTTCTCAAATCACTCTATGTCCATTCACAATTAGTGTCTATTCACAAAGCTACTTTACATTGAAGTTATTCAATATTTTAATTCTAATAGTCATATGTCATTCAAGTTTTTGAGCTAATTCAACCTCGCTGTAAATGGAGATATTTATTATTTATATTTTAACTATTTTGCAACCACAAATAAGTGCTTAATAATTATTATTTTTTGAATAGTCTATCTTGTTTAAGTTGCTCCTTTTGTCTTTGTGTTCACATATCAGGTATGAATATGGTATGAATATACAAACATATAGGTCTTGGATTAGGGATGGAAACGGATTGTCTCCTGAATATATAAAAGGGGTCATTGATTTCATACATTATGCTATACATAATTCTGCCAATCGTAGATCAATTAGGTGACCATGCAAAACTTGTTACAATTTGGACTTCCAATCCCCTGAAAAAATCATAGTCCATTTATTCAAAGTCGGTTTTCTAGAATCATACCTTGTTTGGACTAAGCATAGGATCGAAGGTTGACAAAAATCCGACACTTAGCACTTCACGTTCATAGTTTCATGACCACAACAAAATTGAGGACATGTTAGGGGATATTTATGACCGGTTAGACAATAATCTGAAGAGGTTAAGGGATGTGGTTGAAGATGCTAAGAAACCACTTTACACAGGTTCAAATTATTCAAGGTTGTCTGGGGTGATGTTTTTATTTAATATCAAGGGGAAATATGGGTGCTCTGATTAAGGGTTTACATCTTTATTAGAAGCACTTAATGACATATTGCTTTCTGATAATTCCATTCCCAAGTCAATGCATGAGGCTAAGAAAATAATGAAAGTCTTAGGATTAGATTATCAAAAAATACATGCTTGTCGGAACGATTGCATCCTCTTTCATAAACAACACACGATCTTGATAAATGTCATACAAGTGGGGAGAGTAGGTTTAAGGGAAAAAAGAATGGGGTTATAAATCACAGCCATAGAGTTCATGTGAAAGTGTAATGATATTTTACTCCTATTCCGCAGTTCAAACGCATGTTTCAATCAGCCAACACAACTGAAAACATGATTTCGCATGCAACCGATCGAGTGAGAGATGGTAAACTACGCCATCCAGCTGACTGTACAACTTGGCAACATATTGATAAGATATGTTTAGACATGAGTAAGAATCTTGGAATCTCAGATTGGTTTTGTTAAGTGATGGAGTGAATCCTCAAAGCTCACTTAGTTCTAGATATAGTTGTTGGCTAGTCCAGTTAGTCATTTATAATCTTTCGTCTTAGTTGACCATGTAAAGAAAATTCATGATGATATCTCTACTAATAACTGGTTCGAAACAACCTGGAAATGATATAGATGTCTACCTAGAACCATTGATTGATGACCATTTAAGAAGGAAATGTTCAAAATGAGGGCGATACGTATGTGGACTATTAGTAAATTTCTTCCATTCAGTAATTTATCCGGGTGTACGTACAAAGTCTATTATGAATGTCCCATTTGTGGCCCAAAAATTAGTTCTACATATATGAAATTCAGTAAGAAATGCGTGTATATGGACCATCATCATTTCTTACCTCATGACCATAAATCTCGAGAACTGAAAAAGATTTTCAACAACAAAGTAGAGAAAGAGGGACCCCTTGAAACCTTTTCAGGTCAAGATGTCCTCAAAGAGGTTGAATCAATAAACTACAAACCTGGAAAACACAAGGGAAATAAACGGAAAGCTAGACACATTTGCTAATTCGTAACATGGTGAGGTTACTTAAGCGCAAGTCAATATTCTTTAAATTAAAGTATTGGCAACATTTGCTAATTCGTCATCTATAAGATGTAATGCACATTGAGAAGATGTGTGTGAGAACTTTTATGGCACACTACTCGATCAACCAACAAAGACGGTCCAAAAGCTAGAGATGACTTTATTCATCTAAAGATAAAGAAAAGATTAATTCCAGAAGGAAATTCTTTACCCCCACACCATACACTCTTTCGAATGAAGACATGAAAAAAATCTGCCAAACCACTCTAGAGACCAAGGTACCTGATTGTTATTCATCTAGCCTCAAAAGTATTGTTTCTGATGATGATTTTTGACTTTAAGGCCTCATGTCTCGTGACCATTGTTCTAAAACTCGCTAGGCGCTAGTTGAGCGGTTGAGGGGCGCCTAGGCGGCCGACTAGACCGATTTTTTGGCTGTCTAGGCCGACTTTTTGACCGACTAGACCGATTAGACCTCTACAGTTAGGACCGACTAGGCCGACTAGACCGATAAATCGGTCCGTCTAGGCCAAATTTTAGAACAGGGCTCATGACTGTCACACACTCATGCAACAAATCCTTCCATTAGCGATATGAAATCTGTCTTTGTCAGCAAATGTTACTAATGCTATCACTAGCAATTGTTCATTTTTTAATGCAATATGTGAGAAGGTATTGGATATGGATTCACTTGACAAACTGGAGGCTGAGTATCGAGTCACATTGTGTTCCCTTGAGCAATATTTCTTGCCTTCTTTTTTCGACATCATGCTTCACTTGACGGTCCATCTTGTGACTCAAATCCGGTTATGTGGCCCACCTTATTTATGTTGGATGTACCATTTCGAAAAAAGCACGAAACGGTTAGAGCATGAAGAAATAGGGTTGCCTATACATGGTGATGATGATGTTCCGATTGAAAGGCCTCTGGGTCAGGGAGACACTCAGATTGTCGATCTCTTACTGTTAGAGCAAGCACATTGAACTGTCTTATTTAATACTCCTGAAGTCCAGCCCTACATAAAGTAAGTCCTAAGCTTGAGCAGTTTCATTTTGTTTATGATCTTTGTTGAAATGAAGTATCTAATCGCTTTTCTAATGTAAAATGTTAGGAATCATATGTTACATTCGCAAGCACATGATATTGAGTGTTGTGAAACAGAGCATTATTTGTACTTTTACAAGGTGGTTTGAAGAAACGATTATTTACTTAAGACACTACAAATTATAAGTTTGTGTGTATCACATATTAACTAAAACACTAACTATACTTATTTAGGTTAAAGTTGATGTTGCAAATGGTGTGATAGTTGACCAAACAGTGAGGTGGCTATCAAAGAAGCTCATCAATGTGCAATATCTATTCGTGTTGACTCCTAGGTCTAAAAAACAGGTCTTTAGTACAATGAATGTTGCTTTAAGAAATTTCAGATTTACTTTGCGGAATGAGTTTATCTTATAGTACAAGCAGAATTCCAAGAAGTTGTGGTTTCCTCCTGAAGAGTTTTAGCACATACCAACTGATGAATGGACTCTTTGTTAAAAACACTTTCAAAGAAGAATTTAAAGTCAGTTGTTTGGAAATTTAATTTTAAAAAAACCGCACTTTCATATTCTCTAAAGTTTGAAACTGAAGCTCTTGACGTATAATTCAAACATTCAGGCCAAAAGTGAAAAAGCAAAGGAGAGAAGGAAGAAGAATAGGTACAAGCATCGGTTGGGGTCCAATGGTTATGAAGGACTGCTAAAGAGGAATGTTTATTCTCTTACATCCTTAATTAATGATATGCTTATTTCTATATGGAGGGTTGCTAAAGAGGAAGATTTATTATTCTCTTACATGCTTAGTAGTTAATGATTTATTTATTTCACTACTTGCTTGAATTACTCTATTTTAATTTTTTTGTTTAATCTGATAGCAAAGTGAGCTTGGAGGTATTTTGAAAGATATCGATCGTGCAGATACATGGCTTTTGTGTAGAAAGAAAAAAATGAAGAATATGATGAGGACGTGAAGATATTTCTGAAAAATTGCAAGTATCATACACTTTAGCTTTTATTCGAAAGATATACTTAGATTAAATATTAGTTACTCACGTGAGTTATTTATTACTAAATTTATTTACCTACTATAATGATTTAGCTACTGAAATGATTTAACCACTTAAAGTTCTATTTTACTTTAACTAATGTAACTTTTTTATATAGAAAAAGCTCAAGAAGGTGGTTGAAGTTGGTATACCGTGGGAGCAGCCCACCGTGAGCATGCTGCTCCCACACAAAAAAACGTGTGTTACTTGTTCACGCGGGAGAATAGTAACTCATTTTTTGTTTTTTCATTGTACAGTAGCAGATTGATGTAATTCGCGGTAAAAAAATGTAACTCTCGTTAATAAAAAATGCAACTGCAGACAAGTCGAAATGTAACTTGTCTAATACGGATTATAAGAATTAAAACATTTATTTCAATGAAACAAAGGGTCTATTTGCTCAATTACTTTACGTAAATAGTGGATATGTTGTGTTTTTATTATCAATACCATAAATAAATTTCTTTTCTTTTTAAAATCAACTTTTTTGGACGAAAAATCATTTTTTTCGCAAAAACAAAAAATCATTTTTATTTTGCAAAAAGTGATTTTTTTTGTTTGAATAGCAGGAGTTTACTTAAATAGTGAATATGATCTGTTTTTAATATTAAGGTCATAAAAATATTTTTTGAAAAATCATTTTTTTTGTCAAAGCAATCATTAATTTTTGCCCCAAAAAATGTTTGCAAAAAAAAAATGATTCTTTTGTTTCAATAGCAGGGCTTTATGTTGTGATGTAAAATGTAACTCGCATTGATGAAAAATCTACCTTAGGTGTATACAAAATGTAACTTGTTAAGCCAAGTCTAAATGTAACTCGCACATATGAAGATGTAACTCACACATAAAAACGATTTAACTCGATCATATGAAAATGTAACTTCATATACTATCAAAGCTAATTAATGAAAACAAAGAGTCTAATTGCTCAAATTAATTTACATAAATAGTTGATATGTTTTGTTTTTCGTGTTAAGGCCATAAAATGTTTCAAAGAAAATAATTTTTTTTAACCAAAAAATCAGTTTTTCGGCCAAAAACTCATTTTTCTTTGTAAAAAAATGATTTCTTGTTTCAATGGTTGGAGTTTATTTTGTGATGTAACTCGTGTTATGCAAAATTGAAACTCAAATTGATAAAGAATCTAACATAGGTGTATGCAAAATGTAACATGTTGAGGCAAATCTGAATGTAACTCTGGCATAGGAAGATGTAACTCACATATAATAATTTGTAACTCGCGAATAAGAAGATGTAACCCACACATAAGAAGATGTAATTTGTGTATAAGAAGATGTTACCCCATATAGTATCAAATGTAACTCTAAGAATCATTTATACATGTAATATCATAATTTATCAAATGTAAATCGAAAAAAAGTGAATTAATATGAAAAAATATATTAAAAAGTGTATGTATATAAAAATATTATAAAAAATAAATAGTGTATAAATATGATATGCAATATACTTATTTTTATTTATGTTCATAATTTTTTAATATATAAATTATTTGTTATGAAATGTTAAAGAATAAAAAAATTAATTGAATTGTTATTTAAGGTGAAGATAAAGAAAAATAAAAATAAAATTAAATTTCAATATTTTGGTAGAGAAGGAGAGAAAAAATGAAAACAGGAAAAACAAAGTGTTAGAGATATTTTCATTATATTGTGATCAATGTTTCTTAGCTATTTATATTTAGCATCTTAATTAAATAGACTAGCTAGAATAATGAATAGGCCTTTTAAGGCAATGTGTAATAAAAGGTTTTATACCTTTTTAGGTATGGGCCTCCTAGAAAAAGGAGCCCAAATGATTGTAAAACCTACCTTTCCCGTCAGGCTATATATATGCCTTAAGGGAAAGGCTAGGTTAAGCTTTTCAACATTCTCTGTGCCGCAGTGCCTATTTCCGTGTAAGGTTTTTACGCTAAAAACTCTCATATCATTCTGTAAAACCTTCACATCAATGGAAAGCTTCATTCCCAGATCTATCTTCCATACATACATCATAGACTAGAAAACAGGGACCTAACACAAAGCAAAAGTCTTTTTAAAAAATTAAACACGGTTAGTGGGAATTGGGAAGGATGACAATTCATTTATCAATTAGTGGAAGCACGAGAATTAATTGCAAACAGAAAGATAAGAGTTGCGATATTGCAGGGACAAAAATGAAGAGTTACTAAACGGTTAGTGAGTGGGATCGGTACACCGTGCACACGGTGTAACGATCTCACGGTATAATTTGCTGTTGAAGATGGGTTGTTTGTTTCCAATGGTTGTAATGACATACTTGCAGAAATGGAAAACAACAAGCTTATACTACTCATTTATATAAATTACATGCCTGTCATACCTTATAAGTTGCTTAAATTATATTGAAGGTATATGTTTTAGAGGTTGCTGAGGAGGTTGAGAAGCCAAATATTACCCCACAAGAATATATGAGGTTTTTATTTCTAGAAGTTCTCTCGAGCACACCTCTACAACATCTAAGGGGATTCAACCTAAGCCACCAATTGATGAAGATGAAGAACGTCCAAAGAGGCGAAATGGGAAAAGAAAGGTAGTATTAAAAACTTCTCAAACTATGAAATGATAATGTTAACAATTAATTTTTTTTCTGTATGATAGGTAGGAGAACTTTGAGATAGGCCCGGTCCGCAAGGAGAGATATGGCAGGACAACATAGGTTAGAAACTGAAGAGGAGAAGAACCATGTCCCAAAACTGTGAAGATAGAAATGCAAAGTCAAACAAAGAGTGGACAAAGTAAATACATCTCACGGAGATCCCCCGCCATCTCTCACAGAAGATAGAACCAGCAGGCTACGAAGCACCTTTAGAGGATAACGGGTTAGATTTAGAGAAAGGTGGTGTACAGATTGTCGAAGTACGCAACAGGCCTGAAATGAAGAAAAAGATGCCACCCACTAAAAAATTGAATATGCAACGAACCATGAGGTCATTGGCGGATATGATCCAGAATGATGCAGACGTGTTTGGGTTCCCTAACAAAACTACCTTTATCAAGGACATGTGCTACTTAGTCATCAATTGTGAGAAGGTTGCAAACTCAATTATAGAACTTTGGTGCAAGTAATTGTGTTGAAACTTTCCTTTTATATTTAGGTTACTTTTGAAGTTAAGACTTTACAATATATTCATTACTATATATAGGTCCCTTCATGAAAAAAAGGTAGACAATGGAGGAGAAATGCATGTCCAGTTCGGGACATCTGTTGCAATACAATGTCCTAAAAAAGCATCTGAGGAGTTAATGAATAGAAGATCCCATTAAGCGGCAGACCTTCTCGGAGTCGGGTTACCTAGACAAATTACACTACTACCGTATAATGTCGGGTATTTATTATTTTAAAAAAGTATTTTGGTAATGTTATTTTTATATGATGGCAATTGTCAAGGATTTTTCTCATACAGGGACCACTGATTGTTGGTTGCTATTGATGTGGAGATGGGAAGGATGTATTACTTGGATTCCATTGGAGAAATTCCACCTTATGATTTGAAGATAATTGTCACTCAGTTAAGTCATAATCTACAAAAAGAAAGCACATTTTTCTCGGTTTTCTAAATTTATCACTCACTGAATAGTTATGTTGAATCTACATTACTACATAAACTATTTTTAATTGACTAATACTAGTATATCTTTTATTAAATGCACTTATGCACGACCCTTATCCTTACATGCAAATATTTTGCAACTTTCATATAAACTATTAAACGAGTGTGTGATCAAATGGTGATAATAATTGCATGTAGGGAGTATATAATATACTTATGTTGTGGTCATTATTCTTTTAGTTCAAAGAAAATATTAAAGCATGTAAATAGCTTTATATAATTACCTCAGATTTGCCAAGTCTTGTACCCCTCTGACGTGAGTTTTCTCGCACTTAAAAAGGTTATAGAAAAGTGATTGAAAGTAGGAGTATCATCTCCGCAGGGACGGAAAAAGAGATTTAAAGATTAACTAAATTCAGCGATAAAAAAAGAAATAAATAAAATAAATGCAATGTGTGAGATTGGTTGGTTGAATTAAAATTAAACTAATGCAAATTAACGAATAAATTAAAAAGTTGGTTTCTTCTCAATTAACGACGAAGGGAACAAGGATTGATTCCGGGGTAACCAGATTTCTGGCAGATCAGGCCTAATTACATGAATTTAATTTAATTGAGCCTAGCTAATCATTACTAAGTTCTTACGGCTCTCGCGGCGTAAAGTACAATAATTTAAGGGACCAGGCTGATCTCTCATGCGATAGGATCCTAAATTATTGTCAAGACGAGTGAGCTTACGGCCCCTTAATTGCTACTAATCTCTTAGCGAACGATTAAGGATGTTTTTACTTGGACTCTAATTTGCGAGTCTGGTCTAGTCTGGTCTGATCTGGTCTGGTCTGATCTGGTCTGGTCTAGTCTGGTCTGGTCTGGTCTGGTCTGGTCTGGTTTCTTTGTATTTTTATAACTACCTAAGTCTGGTCTGGTTTGGTCTAGTCTGGTCTGGTCTGGTCTGGTCTGGTCTAGGACAAATTACAGTCCAAGTAAAAACATCCTAAGTGTGTGTGAATGTGTCCTAGAACAGATTAGATCTCTCTTAATTTATTCTACATGCAATTGTAATTCTAGCTGCAGTCTAGGTTACAAGAGATATCAGTTAAATTATTCAAACACAAATTGAACGGCATTCATGCAATTAATCCATCAAAAATCTAGCCATACATCATGATCAACCCCTTCATCAACCCCAAATCCCTAATTAAACTACTCGCAATTCATAATTGAAGAATCAACAAAATTGGGAAGAATAGAATTAATTGTCATTAGGTAAGTAATCCTAGGGTCTTGGAGTAAACAATGATAAAAACGCAAGTAAATTCGTCCCTAGGCCTCTCCGTAATGTTCGTAACCCCTAAACAGGAGAAGAGATGCCTTATTTATAGAAAAAGGGGGAAATTTGGGTAGAATAAGGATTTCCGGAGGTAGGCACGGTGGTGTCAGGCACGATCGTGCCTACCTCCGTGCCTGTGGAACATACGCGCGTCTCGGGTGCAGGCACGATCGTGCCCGGCTGGCAGTGGCTTCTTGGCTCTTTCGTCTTGAGGCACGGTCGTGCCTATGCCCAGGCACGGTCGTGTCTGGCTTTTCCTTGACTATTTCTCGCCGTTTCTTGCTTCAAATTTTCCCGGATGCATACGAGGTCGATCCAAATGCTCTTTCTTCATCGAAACTTCTTCGTGAATCACCCGGTGACCTCCAAATTCCTCAAATCTCTCTCGAATGCTTTCTAACTCTTTCCGATTGCCTCTCAAGCGCCGATGCCGGACTCTAAATTCTTGATTTTGACTCCAAACGAAACAAAATTCGAACCAACGCCCAGTAAACACAACTTGAGCTAAAATTGAGACTTGCAACGTAACACCTTAGAGCTAGGAAAACTATCAAAATCCGACCCCAACACGCATCAAATGCGTGTTGTAATACGAACTTATCACCCTCCAATTGTATTGCTAATCTACACAATTTAAGTGTAGACTTACACTAGTCATTGTGCCTTCATATATACCCTTTATGACTTCAATCATACTTAAAGTCTTAAAGTCTTAAGTATTTTGCACTTAACTATGTGTTTTCAAAGGAGTGGAAATGTATCATGCTCTAAAGTTAAAAGATAGGCCGAAATTGAACTGGATCACAGTCAAGGTATATCCATGTCAAATAGATTATTTATAGAACTTTAAAACATTCATATTTAAATGTGTGTATGTACTATGTAGTGCCCGAAGCAAAGAGGATCATTGGAGTGTGGGTACTTCGTAATCAAGTACATCAAAGATATTATTGGTGATGTTGATGTGTTGAAGAATTATGTGAGTCAAATTTATTCATTTAATCATGTTCAAAGCTAGTAATGTAATTTGCTTACAGGATCCAACCGAAGGTGAAGGATCTCCGGAGTCTGGGGCAACGACGATGTCCACCTCTGCATCTACCAACCGTTTCTCTTCGAGTTCATCCATAGCTATTGGATTTGCCATGGATATAAGGTATGTGAGGTTTGAGAAATGGGAAAAGGTTCAAATAGGCCCTCGAACTTACATAAAAAGGTCAAATAAGCCCTTATATAAGAGGCTCTATCCGGCCGTCGCCATTTGGGGCAGTTCCTGGTGGAATTTGTTGATGATTTTAGTCATTAAGTCTAGTTTACTCATACAAAATTTCAGCTAACAATTCAATCAGGAAGGTATTCAAATGAATTCTTGAAGATAACTGCGCTTTAACCTGCGCAGTTATCTTCAAGAATTCATTTGAATGCCTTCTCTATTGAAGTCTTAGCTGAAATTTGGTATGCGTAAACTAGACGTAATGAGTAAGATGCTCAAAAAATATAAAAAAATTCCACCGGGAACCGCCCCAAATGACGATGGCCGGATAAAGCCTCCCTCCTATATAAGGGTTTATTTGACATTTTTATGTAAGTTCGAGGGCCTATCTGACCCCTTTACCTTTGAGAAATTGAAGAGGGTGGGGATATACGAAGAGGTAGAGATGTGTGGGTGGGTGAAGTAAATGGAGAAGCTGGAATACGAAGAGGGATGAGTGTAGTAAATTGAGATTCGTGGGTGATTGAAGTAAATGGAGAAGGTGGAATACCAGGAGGATGGGCTATTCGGATGCATTAGATGTGGAAAATAAATGAGGGTAAGAAGGTGTATACGTAAATGCATTTATATTTTATATCCAAAAAGAAAAAGAGAACATTAATAAGAGACAAATTGTTTCAGGCAAAGGCAAACTTCTGTTGGCGATAGGGAAAATAGTGGCTATTTTTCTGATCAGCCGGGCCGAAATGCAGACAACATTTTACGACACTGCAACTCAGATGGGTTTGAATTTTTAATCGAAAGTAAATCTTTTAAATTTAATATTCTAATTGGAATTCTTTGCGTATATCTGAGTTGAAGTATGAAATCTCATCTGTTATTGATCTTAATCTCAAATAGGCCACCTAGCTGAAGAACTCCATCGTCAAGCTTTTATCTGACAATTGGTCTTGTACAAGGCTTGAGTTGAAGAATTCCCTTCTCATTCTTCATGATTCTAACTTATTTGGTGGATTTTTTCGCATCCTCAAGAAGGGCTCTCACTCAATGTATATATCTGAAGGGCGAAATGGATTGGGGATCAAATTATTTCTGACAGGTATTTCAAGATCAATTAATTTGATGAAGGAACTTGCAGCCGAACAACCAACTCTGGAGACTAAACAAGTAATTTTAGAGGATCCATCAGGTAACATGGACTTTTTTCCTTGGTTGGATGAGGTTGGCTCTTTTTAGAATGATATTTCTATTTCGGAGTCATTATTTCAAGATGATATTGGGCATTCCCCGTCCTTTGAGAAATCTATAGTGTTAAATTCTACTAAGGACCTTTGTAGCTCTGAGATTACTCCTGATTCAGACTCTTCCTTGGCAATCATTAAGGACTTCTTTCAGACTACTATGACTATTGGGGTTGACACACTTTCTAAATTTTTAGTCAAAGAATTCGATAGAATCCTTGCCTCCTCTTTAGGGAATCAAGAACCTTTGGAAAAACTTCCGATTGAAGAAGAGAAAACAAATGAATTGGCATGTCTAGAGGCAAGTTACTCAAAAGATGCTCACATTAATGACCAATGCACTTCAGTTATTGATTTTGAGGGTGTTTTTGATGAACAAATGTTTTCATACTCGGGAGATGAATTTCTTGGTCACGCTTCAGATAGCGAGAAAAGGGTTCCTATTTCATCTATGGGACTTCGATGCAAATCAGGATATCTGCAACAAAGCTACACTAGTCACGAAAGAAAATTGTTTACCAACGCAGAACTTAAACACTCAAATTAAAATGTATCAGAAAAAGCATCGTAGATCACATATCATGTGGACAAGATCCCAATCTCGTCTAGAATGAGGTGAAGTGAGATCGAAGGGAGGGTCATCTTTGGATGAATTTAGGGTTGGCTTTGCTTAGTTTTCTTGTATTTTATGCTTTTATGTTTCTCTTTGTCGTTCTTGTAATCATTTTTATTTAATAAAATTTCTCTTTTGGTTAAAAAAAATAAGAAAAAATAAGAGACAAACTAAAGTGGGAACATGACCTTTTATGGACAAAGAGATGAAAAGGTCATTTATTCACAACAAAATTGCATAGATCATACTCAATCCAAAAAAATGGAATCATCACAAAATCTCATATAGGCTTAAATGACAGTATGATCTCAAATACGAAGTAATTAGCAAGTGATTGAAACCCAAAAGTCATACTCTATTAGTTTTTGGGAGGTGTAGAACAAAAAATTTCAAACCAATGGCTGTATGGTCAACCAAGAATCTTCAACACCCAGCGTTCGGGTCAATCTTTTTCTGCTCAGATTAATAAAATTCATACAAAGCACCGAGTGGAACGGCCATTGGAACATTTTTCTTCGTATCTTCCATAGATTCGCCACCTTAATTAAACTATATTCGCAGCCTTTGCTTCTCTTACCTCATTTATTCTAGTTCATGTGATCATGGTTAGTGCCCTCTGGTTGTTCCTGGCCATTCACTTCATTTCAGCACTCTGCTCCGCCGTCGACAGAATCCCAAAAACCCTTCAGCTCAGAGACGGCGAAACCATAACTTCCGCCGGGAAGAAATTCTCACTGGGATTCTTCAGTCCAAACGGAACAACAAACAGATACGTCGGAATATGGTACAGTACCATTTCTCCCCAATCAGTTGTCTGGGTGGCGAACCGGAAGAATCCAATCCCGGACCGGAACGGCACTTTCGGAATCTCCGGCGACGGAAACTTCGCCGTTTTAGACGGAAGAAACGTTTCCGTTTGGAGAACTAACGTCTCTGTGACTTCAGAGAATGCGACTATGGTCCTAAAGGATGACGGCGATCTAGTTCTCTGCACAAACCCAGAGAAGATAAACGGAGTTTTATGGAGAAGTTTCACCGATCCGACGGACACGTTCTTGCCGGAGATGAGAGCAAACGTTTCCGACGGAGAACGGAAAATCCTCAGTTCTTGGACCAGTCCCGGAGACCCTTCACCGGGGAGATTCTCCATGGGGATTGACCCGAGAGCCTCGCCGCAGATCGTGGTATGGGACGGAGATAAACGGAGATGGCGAAGCGGCCACTGGAACAGAGTGAACTTCCTGGGATTACCAAATCTGAGGGCAATTTCGAAATACGGGTTTAATGTGTATGGTGACAATGGCGGCTACATCGAATACACACCGTCCAACAGTTCAGATTTCATGAGGTACAGAAAGATCGACCGAGACTTTTCCACTTTGTTTGGTTGGTAACTGTTTGTTATGGGGCTTATTAGTCAATTTTTTTGTGAAACACGTAACTTTTGATTTCGCGTGTTGAAATGTGTAATAATAACAAAAAGTAAGATTGAAGTTACTTTTCTAGTTGTTTTGGCTGAAACTATTGTAGAGGACCATTTTAGCTATTTTTACATATAATTTTTTACTTTATTTTATTAATAAAATATATTTTAAATTTAATTATTTCATAATTCAGCAGAATCACCCAATATAGCCACTTAAATCAGGATTTCATAAATTTCAGTAGGATCAGCCGATTCAGTCGATTTTAGTGTTACCAAACGGGCTCTTAATGCAAATGATGATTGGGGATTATAAATTTGTATAAATTCCAAATTTTTGTTCACAACCAAAGAATATAACACATATAGAATTCAGGAATTTGATCACTACCAGAAATAGATAAACATATAAGGAATAAAGAGTGGTATGTTTTAGGAGTAAAGAATGAATTCAAATAATAATAGTGATAATAGTAGTAGTAATAGAAATAGTACCTAATCATAATGCTTCATAATATTAGTCATAATAATAACAATAACAATAATAATAAACTCGGTTAAAAATAGAAATAGCTTTAAATAAGACTGAAATTTAGACAAGTGCACAAATATGACTATATGTGTTTTATTTCCAAAGTACTCCGTATGACTTATTGATTCTATTAAAAGCATAAAACTTTCTCTATCAAGAATGATCTGAATGAGTCATATTTAAAAAGAAAACAATGATAATCACATGTATCACTTTGTCTTTAGTTTAGTTCTATTTTCTCAAAAATAAAAATGCAAGGATTATAGTCATTGCTAGACCACTGGGACTATGGTGATCCCCATCTAAATCTGGCAACCACAAACAACGATTGGGAAAATAAATATGAGCATGGGATGACACACTGCCAAGGTGCAACGTGACTACTTCCACACTACATGAAATATTGATGTTGTAGTACCGCTATCATAAAATACGAGCACTATAGCCCTACGTTATGAAATTAAACTAACATTTTTGTCCTAAAAAGAAAATCATCATACCAAGCGAATAGCGCCATAAAGAAAGAAAACTCCAATGCTAAGGCCTAAATGTCCTAAATTTGAGCAACCCAAATTTCATAATATGTTATGAACTACGAGTAATAAAATATGGGTAAGTGGGTAACCTCAATCCGATTTCAGGACAGTTTCAGTAAATGGCGGATCTTGCAATAAAATACGGAAATTGTCCTAAATAGGACTAAAAAATTTCTAAAAAGCACAAATAGGACTACTATTTTTAAAATTCTCTAAATAGAACTAAACATTGATTTTCTACCCTAAATACCCCTAAGAGTATTAATTCATAATGAAATGCTTTAATTCATAATAAAATCACAAAAAACGTAAAAAAATATTTAAAAAACGTAAAAAAATTATAAAAAATTTATAAAACATTTATAAAATAAAAAATTTAATTTTTTATTTTTTTAATTTTTTTAAAAAAATAATAAAAAATAGTAAAAACCCATAAAAAATGAAAAAAATTATGGATACCTTTCTCACCGCCTCCCGCCGCCTCCCAGCACCACCACCTCCGATTGGTGAAATTTCTTCCACTTTTGATAAAAAAATGCCATATTTTTCTGAAAATGCCAAAAAGATGGCATAATTACTCTTCAATATGGCAACATTTTCATTGAATATGCCATCATTATGGCATTATTTAAAATGTTGGCATATTTTTCTCCGGTGATGGGAGATGGTGGTGCTGGGGGGTGGCAGGGGTGGTAATGTTTTTTTTTTTTAATTTTATGATTTTTTTTATTTATTTTTTATTTTTTTAAAAAAAATATTTTTTTTATTTTTTTAGAAAATATTTTTATTAATTTTCTATTATTGTTTTACGATTTTTAGTATTTTTTTCGATTTTTATTAATTTTTTTATGATTTTATTATTAATTAAAACATTTCACAAGTTACAAGGGTATATTTGTCCAAACACACATAAATAGTCCTATTAAGGGAATTTAAAAAATGTAGTCCTATTTGTGCAATTTTGCTACTTTTTAGTCCTATTTAGGGAATTGACTCAATAAAATATGGGTGTTCAAAACCAAAACCACTACGTTCTTGTGTACTCAAACACGAAATCCTCTCACAATGAAGACATTATAAAATGTCTGATGCGTCCCTTTTGAAAGAGTGATAAGTTAATAGTGCCATGAAGATAGTGGAGGATGCTTCCTCGGATAATGATATTATAGAATATGAGATTATAATAGATATAATCTATAATGTTATTTATAGATTTTTTTAAACAACACCCATTGGTCCTCCAATGGTCCTAATTTTTTTTAGAAACTATTGGGAACTAAGTGAAATAAGTGAAATCTATCCTTTAAAACTTGAGAGAATTTCCTAAATAGGAGTAAAAACGTTTTGAATTTCAAAAATAGGACTATTATGTATTTTATTCAATTTCCTAAATAGGAGTAAATTTTTGTCAAGTTTGGTATTACTAGGCTTTAAACCTGGCATTTTTTCCAAGCTTGGCAGATTACTCCTATTTAAGGAATATAAAACATGGTAGTCCTATTTTGGAATTTAAAAACGTTTTTACTCCTATTTAGGACAATTTCTGTTAAAACTTTGACATGTATCTTTTACTTTAATCAACAATTTTGATTACTATATTTTATGAAAGCTATAAGTTTTATAATTTTACAAAAGTATCTTTAAATCATTTATATTGTTGTATACCTGTATATACGGAGTAGTTATTTTTGTTTTTCTTGTTTGTCGTATTTTCCAAAGTAAAACTCTTAGGTCATTAGGTGTTGCCGTGCTCCTTTGTGGTTTGCCCCTGTAAATGTGGATCTTAACTCATTTCTGGTAAGTTTACATATGCTAAAATATGGTTTAATCTTTACTTCATTTTTGTAATTAGCTACGAATGAATATATTTAATCTAATTCTCATATCAATTTGATATTATAAGCACATTCTATAAAAATATATGATAAAATTAACTTTAAATAATATCAACTATCTTCCATGAATCGAAAATGATACATACTTTAGAAATAACTTTTATTAATACCAACTATATGAATGTAAACAAAAAATAAAATAGAATCACTTTTCTACAAGAAATGCAGTCATTTAAGACATCAAAAACTGATATCAAATCATCAATGATTAATATTTGGAAATACGGTCACTTATTTGATATTTTGATATTAGTTTTTTATGTGTTAAATAACTGAATTTTCAGTGAAAAATTGATATATATCATTAAGTTTGTCCCATTTTTCCTTTTAGGAAAATTCCACTAAGATTGTATCATACTAAATTTAGTAAAATTTTAGTAACTCTAAATCATTCTTATTTTATTCTTACTTTATTGATTCAATATCAACCACACAAACTCACACCTTTCTTAATAATTGTGTCACTTTCTCATGCCTCAAAGTTAATACGATGGAAGTAGTATCACTTTTGATATATATTCAAATAATTGGTATTATTAAGCGTTATTTTTAAAATTTATATTATTCTTGATTCAGAAAAGATGACTGATATATTTAAAGTTATTTCTTATTTTTTCAAAATATATGATTGTTCAAAAGTTTAATTTCATTGATTGAAAAATCAATAGATTCACAAAGTTTTAAGGAGTATCTTTTTTTTTTTTGAAGGAAGGAGTATCTTTTTCCACTCAAATGTGTTTATTTGAAATTTCATGTTTACTCAATTTGGTACATTTCAATCTTTAACGGTACAGGTTTACAATTGATTGGGAAGGGAACGAGGTGCAACAGAGGTGGGACGAAAGCATAAAGCAATGGAAACAGATTCAATCTCAACCCGCTGATGATCCCTGCGGCTTCTACAACCGGTGTGGGAAATTTGCGAAATGCGCTACTTCATCAGCTCCGGTAAAGTTTAGTTGCAGCTGCGTGGATGGATTCGTGCCCAACAATGGGCCAGAGGGGGGCTGTATCAGGAGGACTAAATTGCAATGCGGGAGAAACAGCAGTGAAGGCGATGGCGGAAAGGATGGGTTTCGCGAAGTTGTTCGTATCAAATTGCCGGATTTTGCAGATGCTGAGAGCGATGCAGTCAATGAAGAAGATTGCAGAAAGAAGTGTGAAGGGGATTGCAGTTGCAATGCATTTGCTTTTGTCTATGGTATCCCTTGCATGATATGGAGGACTGATTTGGTTGATATGCAGCAGTTTGAAAAGGGGAGTGGGAGCACCCTGTTTCTACGCCTTGCTCGCTCTGAATTAGGTATTAATCCTTGCCTTCTAAAGCATCGGTATTTCAAATTAGGACTAAAAACTGGCGTGATAACTGTAATATGCAGAAAAGATACCTCAATTAACGACACTGGTTCATTTTGGTACCCTACTTGTCGAATGAATTAGGTTAGTTCCCCACACAGATAGCTAACTGGTAAAGTAATTGCAAGTTTGGATAAATGATCAAGCATTGAAACCCGCAACGACCATGGGTATATTGACCTGGGTCTATGTTGGGCACGAGTATAAAGTCTAATGCCGTTAGAATCAATTAAGTCAACCTCCCATATGCCCTATCTGGTCGGGGTTTGGAGGTCCTTGGTTTAGGGATTCAAGAATTTGGACAAATGAATTAGGTTAGTTTCTTGATTAGATTTAAGAGATAATTACCTTATGTATTACTAAAACTCTATCATTTTCTCAATCTATGACCTTAGTACTTTTTTCCCCACAATAATATCTGAATTCGTCCTAATTAATTAATTAATTACTAAATAAATAAATAGTTTTTATGGACCAATATACCCTTAATTGTAATTATAAAATGCTAGCTAACTTTCTCAACCCTAGCCAATGATCGATGCCTCTAGTCTGCCCCCACACAGGCGAACAACGTATTGCACAGCCACCGCCTAGACGCACGGCCGCCTGCCGCCGCCCTCTGCAACTCCTTGTCGTCGATTCCGCCCCCCTCTGCACGCATCTGAACAAAACAAACTAAGTTCGATAGGTCGATTGGGGACAATATGGATGAAGACCGACACATGTGGAGGTCTGATTAGGTAGATTAGGCCGCTCTATTAATCCCTCTTGTCTTCGTGTTGGTTCTGTGTCTCTAGTGAAGCAAGAAGAACGATGGATATAATTTGCTCCAAAGTCATTTTGCCTAAGATATAAGAACGATGTGTTTCGTTTCTCGAGGTGGGGGATTAGGTAGAATTTTGATTTAATTAATTTGTTGTAATTTGTTGAGTAGGTAGTGGATCTCCTCAACAACCACAATTCTCATTATTTGTCTATTTTTTTAAATTAGGTTTTGTGGATTTCTTCTTTGTCTATTTCTTAAAATTAGGGTTTGTGGTGCAAAAAACATGGGCAATGAAAATGATAATAAATAATGTTGAATATAGATAATGAACATGACATTATAATGTTGAATATGAATAGTGAGCATGACAATAAATAATGTTGTACATGGACCATGAATGAATGCATTGATGATGTGCATTGATTCGAACACAATAGGTATTGTTAAAAAAAATTGCAAGAAGTGCATTGATTAAGACTTGTACGCCTATAATGCAGAGTAGTAATGTTGTCATGAAATGCAATTAATTTTATTAAAAGTGAAATACTAAAATTAATTTCACTATGAAACACTATATACTTAATGAGATGTAAAATAATAAAATTATTAAATCTAAAAAACAAAAAATAAAAACAAAAACAAATTCCTCAAGTGAATGAGAAGAGAAATAATTTTACGGAAGTGCAGTAATTATTACCGGATGTGCAGTAAAGACGTGCATTAATTTTGTGCATTAACAGCAATATAAAATGCAATAATTTTAATTGGACGAAATTAGTGCGAAATGCACATATTTTAAATAAGGGTATTTTCGTCATTCAACATTTAAATATAAACGAATTTTCTATTTGCTTTTGGATTTTCGGTTGTATAAAGGTATCAAAACTAGTTAGGTCATAGATTGAGAAACTCATTGAGTTTTAGTCATATCCCGGTAAATTTCCCTAGATTTAATTGTATCAAAGTTCTTGTGAGAATCATCAGAAATAACAAGTAATATTCCATGTACAACTAGAAACCTTTAACTAAATTAATTAATCTACGCAATTAGAATAGGAAATTTACCGGAATACGACTAAATATAGTGAGTTTCCATACATGTGACTACTTCTATTCATATGACTAAACATAAATAATAAGACTAAAATACCCTTTTATATTTTAAATGACTTAAAACTGAAAGATATTTGTTCGATCTGTTTAACTCTAATTTGATCTGAATTAATTTGTTTGATTTTTGGTATAAGTAAACTGAACAATTACATGTCATTTCAACCATGGGCTTAGATAGGGGAGGGGCGGCCTAGTTCTTCCAGAGTTGGTACAATTTTCTTATATTTGTAAACTATACTATCTTCATTTCTAAATAAGTATAACATGTTAAATTTTACAATATTTACATGTTCTACTTTGATTACGTTTTATTTATTAATGTATTAATAAATTATTTTAAAAAATATATTGCTAAATGCTCCGTGTATCTCATCATAAATTTTTAAAATCTGAATTTTTAATCTTTCTAAGCATAGAGAATTGGATATATTAATGTTTAGAGTTGTGCAACCGTTACGTGTAAAGTTTCCCTTATTTATGAATAGAGATAGTATGACTTATTTAATTTCCGGCTCACCCTCTCTTTTGGTACTGCCTTTGCCAGTGATTTAAAATGGGACCTTTAAGTTTAAAAAGCTATGAAAATGTATTATGAACAGGTGATAAAAAGAAGAGAAGGACAATTATTGTTGCAACCTCTGTCGCCGCTGCAGCTTCTACAATAATCCTTGTTACCTTAGCCATTTGGATACTCTATAAGCGGAAATCAAAAAGGAAGAAGGATGAAGCGCTGCAAAGTGAGCTGCCTAGCAGTGGAGAATCCTCCACGGATTTGTCAGATGGGACATGTCCACTTGCTGTCGAAGGGAATCACGGAACTGGATCGGACCTCGCGAGCTTCACCTTTACTGCCATGGCAATAGCTACTAATCACTTTTCACACGAAAACAAGTTGGGTCAAGGAGGATTTGGCCATGTTTACAAGGTAAAGTTAAGGGGAATTCTCGAACTAGGAGTAAAAACGTTTTGAAACTTCAAAATAAGAATATTATACGAAGTATATTCTTATTCCCCGAATAGGAGCAAGTGCTGTCAAGCACGGCAATAATGCCATTTTAAAGCCTGGTAATGCCAAAACATAACAGAAATTACTCTTATTTACGGAATAAAAATATAATAGTCCTATTTTGAAATGAATTAATTCCATTTTTGGTCATACGAGTTTTATGTCATTCCCACATTTAGTCCACATTTTTCATTTTGTCCACTTTTGGTACTTGATTAATGTTTTTTGACCATTTATTGTCCTTTTCCGGCGATTTTAACCACCGGAATAGTTGCCGGAAGGACCATATGTGGGCAAAAACACAATAGTGATGTACCAAAAGTGGTCAGAGTCAAAGACGTGGACCAATTGTGGAATTGGTGCGATACTCATAGGACCAAAAGTGAAATTTATTCATTTTGAAATTCAGAAACGTTTTTACTCTTGTTTAGGACATTTTTTGAAAATTTAAACCCTTGAAGCTTATTTTGCTTGGTTGAATTATTATCTAAGTATGAATGACTAAGTAACCTAAAATGTATCTATGTTAAGGGAGTGCTACCCTGTGGTCAAGAAGTAGCTGTAAAACGACTCTCAAGAAAGTCCAACCAAGGCATGCAGGAGTTCAAAAATGAGCTTACAGTGATAGCTAGGTTACAACACAGAAATCTTGTTAGACTTTTGGGTTGTTGCGTTGAAGGAGAAGAAAAGATGCTACTTTATGAATACATGCCAAACAAGAGCTTAGACTCTTTCATATTTGGTAATTTCAATAATGCTTATCTTTCAAGTTCTTTTAAGGAACACATCTCAATACACTAGTATATAACTATATATGTACATTGAGTAATACGGAGTAAGTGATTATTTATGCTCAACTTATTACAGATTCGGTAAAAAGGGGAGAGTTGAACTGGAGAAAACGTTACCAAATCATTGAAGAGATTGCAAGAGGGTTACTATATCTTCATCGGGATTCAAGATTAAGGATAATTCATAGAGACTTGAAGGCAAGTAACATTCTACTCGATAGCGAGATGAACCCAAAAATTTCAGACTTTGGCATGGCTAGAATATTTGGAGGTAACCAAAATGAAGAAAATACAAACAGGGTTGTAGGCACATAGTAAGTACTTTATTTATCACTCCTTCCATATTTGAATAGTTTTAATGAGTTTAAGGCCGGGTGAAATTGTAGAAGTGTTAAATGAGTTGCGGAGCTAAGGAGGGGCTGGAAATGGTGTAGCCCCCCCCCCACACACACACAAATACTTATACTTTAAATAAGATACTTGTGCACAATAATAAAACTGTAGCCCGTTAATAAAAATTTTCAATTTTCCCCCCTAATACGAAATTTATGCCCCCTAGTACTTTTTTCTGTATTAAGTAGTTTATAAACAACTAAAAGTGAAGAAGCAAATACTTAAAAGTAACAACTAACGACTAATTTAAAAATTCTTAGAGCAGATATCAAGTATCTTTGGGAATGGGGGGTTTCTATATTCTATATTTAGTGGTTATTTGGGTCCAATGAACTCATCTGTTACACTTTTTTCGTAGTGGCTATATGGCTCCGGAGTATGCAATGGAAGGCCTATTTTCAGTGAAATCTGATGTCTACAGCTTTGGCGTCTTGCTATTAGAGATCGTTAGTGGACGAAGGAACAATAGTTTTCGCTCTAGCTACCACTCGGGCATCGTAGAATATGTAAGTTAGACATTAATTATGTTCAAATTTTCACAAATTTCAAACATACAATAATATTAACTTGCAACTTCTCTCAATTTTTTTTACTCTAGGCATGGGAGCAATGGGATCAAGGCAAACCAATGAACCTAATGGACCCTTTAATCTTTAAGTCATGTGTACCACCACAAGTGTTGAGATGCATACAAATAGGTCTGCTTTGCGTTCAAGACTTGGCCGTTCACAGGCCAAACATGTCATCAATTGTATTGTTTCTTGAGACTGATGATGTTACTCTGCCAGCACCCAGACCGCCTACCTATACAGCATCCATGAGAAGATTAGATGGTGTTGATTCCTGGAATCAGGATGATGATCTTCTTAGTTCGAATAGCCTCACTCTTAGTGTGATAGTTGGTAGATGAATTTGTTACTTTTCTTCTTTTTTACCTCATCATGTGAGGTAAATTTTGTCATTTTCGAATAGCCTCATTTTTTACCTCATCTTCGAATAATAAATTTTGTCATTTTATTATTCCCAGTACTAGGCTACTGGCTAACATTGTGTAAAGCATAATTTTTGTAAAATATTTCATTCTTATAAAGATACGAATCTCATTTAAAATTTATTGAGAGGACTTTTTGCTGCACGACTCCACATTTTTTTTTCAAATTAGGACTCTTCACCATGGTTTCTTTGTCTTACAGTACTAGTCTAATATGTAAACACATTTGGATAATATTTTGTTGAATGATTTATTTCGCAGTAAAATAAAATAAGAGATGACATATGATTTCCGTTTTCATTTTAAGAAGGAAAGTCGGGACTACACAAGTTCACTTCATATTAGAGGGGGCTGCCTAAGTGCCTATCGCGTAATTTAGGCCTTAAGGAGTTGATCATTTTAAATATTGATAAATCATGTTAATGAGTTATAGAGCCTTGAGAATGATGTTGTCATTTATTTCTCATCACCTGAATCCTCGCCACAACCCTCGCTCTCCCCACACATTCTAGCTCTTACAAAACCAAATAAGTCACTTACTCTCTGACCATGCATACAAAAATCCATACAATTAACAACAACATTCTTTGTTGGACATGTGAGAGATTCAAAGCATCAATCAGGCATAAAAGCTAAAATACTTCCACCCATAATGTAAACCCTAAAAGTTCCCGAACCTCACCCACTAAACACAAGAATAGTCCGAATAAAGATGTACGACATAACCATAAAAGAAATAACTACGAAGGAAACCCAAAAAATGAAACTGGCCTGGTCCTCTTTCATACAAGGTTTTTCTTCTGCTCCACTCCTATCCAACATCATCTTAAATTTTCCATTAGGAGAGTCACCACCAACTAACTCGCCTATTTCCGTTTTTTGGAAGGGCATACTCCACTTCATTCTGGTACTCAACTCAGCTGAGACTATTTCCTCCAATCTCTTCCTCTTTTGGTCAGTTTTAATTCCTTCCCAAAGAGCTTGCCATGAACCAGTGTCGCATGATCTTCCTCCCTTGCATACTCCTTCCTCTATCTCCCTTTGTGTGTCATGTTGAGCCCAACTTGTTCACTCCTGTAGCCTCTCCCTGCCGAGACAAGCCATCAGTTACCCTGTGGTGCTCTAAGCCATGATCCAAACGGACTAGGATGTCGTTCCCCGCATTTCCCAATGGGCAAACGAGTTAGTAAATATGGTTCTTCTAAAATAAGGCCAGACATGTAAAAACAGACTAAAGAATATGGTCCAAAATCGATAGAAGAAATCAAATCAAAGTCAACGCATATCTACCCAAGTACAATTATGAATATGTATTGATGGATTATATTGTCATAATAAACTCAAAGGGCCGCAAGATACAGGGTCTAGAATGGGAGTTCAATATCATCTAGAATTAATACAAGAAATCAAAGCCACAACATGTCTATGTACTCAAGTACAATTATGATTAGGTATTGATGCGGTATATTATCATAATAAACTCAAAGGACCGAAAGATAAAAGGTCTAGAGCGGGGGTTCAATTCAGCTGCACATAAGTGGGTTGAGCCCTAGAGCCAAGGTCACCATCATAGTATAGGCCACCCTCTCTTGTTCAATTTTGTGCCGAGCTACATTAATGAGGCCAAGCCTGATTATAATTGTTGAGCGGGCCTCATCTGCCACCGGTCGAGGTTGAGAGGGCCTAATCTGCCTCGACACGATTATGATGTTACCCTGATTGTTTTATGTTGGCTTAAAATATCTTAAGAAATCTAAAAATTCCATTGTAGGAGACAGATTATTGGGGAGGGAGCTAGCTAAGGATTAGGAGGCGGTGAATTCAAATAACTAAACCAAGGGCAAGTCATATTTTTGCAAAATACTTGTATTAGTTATTTTAAAAGTGTCGAAATCATTTATATGTCATTTTTGTTTGTATATTACTAGTATATATGAACATTTTGGGGTTATTACAACTCAATAGGACCATTTGAAAACGTTGTGTTAGCCATTAAAGTCCATCAACAATAAAGTGCATCTTTTTTCGTAAATACCATTGTAAACCAAACATATAAAATTAGAAGCAAATTTGGATGGTTAGCTTAATTGATTTGCCTTCAAAAAAAAGTTACCAAAGTTTGACATGCTCTCCATTCTATAATTGCAAAATATTTCAATATAATCGTTATTGTTGACCTTTGAACAAAGCACAGCGTCACGACTTAAAAGATATGAGCAGCTTGGAAAAAGTCATATCCTTATTGATTAGAGAAAATTCAATAGGAAAATTCACGATAAATATGTTTAAACGTGCTTTCTATTCAGAATGATTAATTAACACAATGAAAGCACCAAACGGCTATCTATTCTGCTTCTTTCTAATTCCGAACCTTCTAACCTCCATAGCTCTTCCGATTGACATCATCACTCCCACACGTCCCCTGAAACAAAACGAAACTTTGGTTTCCGCCGGCGAGCTCTTCGAACTGGGATTTTTCACTTCCGGCGACTCCGGCAAACGGTACGTCGGGATATGGTACAAGAATATAAAACAGAGAACAATCGTTTGGGTCGCAAACAGAGACAAGCCACTCACAAATTCCCCTGGATTCCTGAAAATTGGTGAAGATGGGGGAATCCATTTGGTAGACAGCATAGGGGATTGAGAAATTACTCCAAATAGGAGTAAAAGTAAGGTAAAACTCAAAAATAGGACTGCTTATGTTTTTATTCCAAAATAGGACCAATTTACTCCTATTATGAAACATAGAGAATTTGGCATCACATTTTTACCCCTGCAGTTATTTATTCTTCTCTCTCACTTTCTCTCCCCACAAATGGATCACACTTCTCTAGGCTCAAAAACCGCACTCATCTTCACCGATCTACTCTGCAAATCGTCTTCTCCCTTCCAGACCCGTGATTTCGCTGCAGGCCATCGCACGCCACCTCCGCTGCCTCCACTGCACACCACCTCCGCTGCCTCCACCTTCACCACCTCTGCAAATCATCTTCTCCCTTCCAAGTTCCAAATCGTCTTCTTCCATATTTCAGGTTTTTATCTTCTTCTTCTCTTCTTCTTCTTCATCTTCCTCCTCCTCTTCACCTTCTTCGTTTTTTTCTTGGTATTTCTATGATTTTTAGGGTAATTTACATTCCTCTGATTTTTTGGATAATTTTTACATTGATTTTGTCAATTTTCAAATTTAAATTTTCGTATTTTGATTTCTGAGTATTTAAACATTTTTTATTTTCCAGATTTTTGGATGATGGCATAGAATTTTGCCAAGTTTGTGGCAGAAATAATGTATAATGACAATCGGATTATGGCAGAAATAGTTTTTGAGTAAATCGGCTTTTCTAATTTTTTTCCTTTTACTTCGTGTTTCTGATTCTATTAGAGTTTTTATTCCATTAATTTTTTTCGAACATTTGCTAATTCCTTTCATGTTTTTGCCAAATTTATGGCAGTTTTCAATTATTATTCCAAGATAAATCTGCCAAATATGTGGCAAATTCAAAATCCATGTTCATGGCAGATTTGAAATTAATTTAGACTAAATATGCCAAACATTTGGAAGTTGCTGGCATTGGAGTTGTGACGGTGGCGGTCGTGCCCGGAGGTGATGTGGCGGCCCTGGAGTTCACAATGGTGGTGCTCGGAGGATGGTGGTGGTGGTGGTGGTGGCAGGTGGGCGGCAAAGAATGGTCACACTAGTTTGGATGCGGCGGTGAGGCTGGAGGAAGACAGTACTAGCGAGGGTGGCACCGGAGAGACGGCGGCAGGCGGCGCCGGCGAGACGGCGGCAGAAGGCACCGGTGAGATGGTGGCAGGCGGCGTCAAGGAGGCGGTGGCAGGCTGTAGCAGCACCGAAGGTCGGGGAACTGCTCATGTTGAGAATTAGGTTTCATTAGATTTTTATTTATAAATTCAAAGAATAATTTAATGGGGGCATTTTTGTCCAAGCAGGTGATTATATGTCCTATGAAACATACTTTTGTTTTTTGGTCCTATATGTGAACATCGGTCCTCTTTTAGTCCTAAACAGATAATTAACCCTAGGGGATTCTATCTGGTCATCATCAAATCAGACAAATCTGGGAAATTCTGGGAACAACACACCTGTGGCTCAGCTTCTAAATTCTGGGAACTTTGTTCTTCGCCAAGTAAATGATGAAAAAACAGAGGATTATCTCTGGCAAAGCTTTGATCACCCTACAGACACACTCTTACCTGGAATGAAGCTGGGCTGGGATTCAAAAACCGGGCTCAATCGATATATAACATCCTGGAGAAGCCCAACCGATCCATCTGAAGGGGATATAAACTTCAAGCTGGACATCAATGGCTACCCAGAAGCATTCTTGACGAATAAAGGCTCAATCTTTCACAGAAGTGGAGGCTGGAATGGGAAGCGATTCAGCGGAGTCCCAGAAATGGAAGCAGAAGGAGTCATCAGTTTCTCCTTTAAATGGACAAAAGACGAAGTCTACTATTCATACGAGATCCAAAATAAAACGTTGTATTCAAGATTGGTAGTGAACCAAACAGGGCTTCTGGAGAGATACACTTGGGTACCGGAGAGTGGCACTTGGAACAGATTTTGGTACGCGCCAAAAGACCGATGCGACGTTTACAGAGGATGCGGCGCGTTTGGGATATGCGACACCAGCGACTCACCGGTTTGCGGGTGTTTGGTCGGGTTTAAGCCCAGAAACCCGCAGGCTTGGAATTTGTGGGACGGGTCGGGCGGGTGCATTCGGGTCGACAAGCTGGAGTGCGAAGGGGATGGGTTTTTGACGTTAAACTATACGAAGTTGCCGGAGAGTGGGGGTGCGTTTGTGGATGAGAAGATGAGTTTGGATGAGTGTAAGGGGACGTGCCTTAAGAATTGCTCCTGCACAGCTTATACAAACGCCAATGTCAGCAATGGCGGGTCGGGTTGCGTAATTTGGAGGACGGAGCTTCTCGACATGCGCAAGTTTCCGGTCGGAGGTGACCAACTTCTGTATGTTCGTGTGGTTGCTTCTGATGCAGGTATGCTGTTTGATTTTTACCATTATAAATTGGTTAGCTAAATTAATGAGAATGAGGGTGGCTCGCTTAACTAGAATCGTCATCTACCCAAGCCCGTTTAAGAGGCTTTCGTGTAGAGTTTTAGATGAAATTTTGTGAGTATGTTCTTGAAGTGTAAATTATGTCAACAAAATTTCAGTTTACAATTCAATTAGGAAGTCAGTCTAATAAATTGTTGAAAAATATTGCGCTTCATAAAACCTACTCCCTCAGTCCCAAATTGTATGATACATTTACTATTCACTTGGTCAACATAAATCAATCTTAATCTTTTATTTTATATATCAAAAGTTTATGAAATTTGAATTATTTTTTGCAGGTTTTGTAGCGGTTTTAATGTAGTTTATGAATATGTAAATTTTATTTTCTAGAACTAATTTGAGTGTTGTCAGGGATCAATTTGCTTTATCATCAGTCAAACATCGTAAACCGTAATGTATCTTACAAATTGGGACGGAGGGAGTATTATTTTTCAATAATTTATTTAACTGACTTCTCAATTTGTATTTTAATTTGAATTTTTATGACTATAGTCTATATTTCACGAGAAGTATGCTTACAAAATTTTATGGAAAAAATATACACGAAAGCACCTCAAGCGAGCTTGTTTAGACAGGCTAGGCACGAATGAGGATATTTTTGCTTTAATTTGCATTTAAAAATGGATATTCTTCAGCTCACGTGGGTACTTTTGGAATGAGACTTAAAAAAAGGAGTGTTTGCAACTATGCTTGCAACACTCCCTAAGGGAATGTTTGCAACTGCTTAAAAAAAGCATTTCTCAGCTTTTGGCTTTAAAAAGCACTTATTTACCAAACACTACAAATTTTTACTTTTTTTTCGGCTTGCGGGTAAAAAGTGCTTTTCCCTTTTCTATTACACAAAAAGCACTTATTTTACCAAACACTACCAACTTTTACTTTTCAAAATCACTTTTTTCTCAAACACTATCAACTTTTACTACTAATCATTTTTTCCTTATATCTCCAAAAGTGCTTTTTTTAAGCAGAAGCAGTTGCAAACACTCCCTTATATGATATCACCGCACCAGCCGCCCATTCATTATGGATAATTTGACATGTGCATTAGTGCATCTAGGAATAGAAGGTACTTTTGGAATGAGACATAGATACATATGGTGCACATTTGACATTTGAATATGCATCATATATTCCCATTTGTTAAAATAATAACTAACTAAATGATTCAATGGTTAATATCTGGGTAGCAATAATGCAATCAAGGGAGGTAAATAAAAATTTATGCATAAGAATATAATTGATTCGCTATCAATAAGACATACTTGATGTGAGTTTTCTCCCACTTAAAAAAAATTGTAATATAGGGGTGTAAGTACGAGTATCGTCTCCACAGGGACGGACAAAAGGGAATTAAAGATTAACTAAATTCAGCGATTAAAAATGAAATAAATAAAATAAATGCGTCGTGCGAGATTGGTTGATTTGAAAATTAAACTAATGCGGTTGAGCGAATAAAAAATAAATGTGGTTTCTAATTAATTAATGACGAAGGGAATAGGGATTGATTCCGGGGTAACCAGATTTCTGGCAGATCAGGCCTAATTACATGAAATTGATTTAATTGAGCCTAGCTAATCATTACTAAGTTCTTACAACAACCAGATTATAGTGCAAGCAATTTGAGCCTAAACACTTCAAAGATGTTCTAAAAGCATAGTCAAAATGCTAGCCAACTCACAAAGCCTGTTGAACATAACTTGAGCTAAAATTGAGACTTGTAACACCTTAAAGCTAGAAAAACCATCAAAAGCCGATCCCAACACGCATCAAATGCGTGTCTAAATATGGACTTATCAATACTCCATAAGACATAAGACATTACAGTACTTAGTTCTTGCCACTTGTTTGTTACCCCTTAATTCGGTTTTTCTCATTTTGATCGAGGAGTTTTGTGCAAGTATATGTGACTCAAATACAATATTTGTGATATCTAGTTATATTGTAGGAGTATTTACAAACATTGATTCAAAATATGACGCTCACATTTTGAGGGAGAGCAATGATATAGGGAGTACATCTCAAAAGACCTAGTTAAAACTAAAGAGATGTGGAATACGGACGAATTCATAAATAAATCTGAGATGCTCTGTGCTGAGAAGCAATTATACTAGACTTAAATATTAGCAGGGTAGACTGAATATGAAAATTGAAAAAATTACACTAAAAATATTGACAAAGAATTAAGTTACACTGGACTTCAGTCCACAATAGTTTATACATAGATCCCCCCTGATGTGGAATAGCAAATAGTATGGAGCATTATGATTCAATGAATTGAAGTAGATGCTCGGATGTATGTATACAAGATAGAGTCTATTTAGGGTTGATTTGCAACTCTTTTTAAAAAAGCGCATCTCAGCTTTTGGATTTAAAAAAGCACTTATTTTCCCAAACACTACAACTTTTATTTTTCTCGGCTTCCGCGTCAAAAGTGCTTTTACTTTTTCTATTATACAAAAAGCACTTATTTTATCAAACACTACCCACTTTTACTTTTCAAAATCACTTTTTTCTCAAACACTATCAACTTTTATTTAATCGTTTCTCATCATTTCATTTAAAAAAGCATTTTTTAAAAGCAGAAGCTATTGCAAACAGACCCTTAGACTTTACAAGAGACAATAGGATTTAAGTACATTTATTTTATATAAGCTCCCCGTGTGATGTCCTATAGACCCTCTAGTAGCTGCCTTTAATTTGTCTCTTCTAGCATCCCATTTTGGTGAGTGGCATGTGTAGTACCCATAAACAAAGTATTTGTTTCAATATTATCTTCATTCTTTCTTTTTTGTTTCTTCTCAATATAAATTCATTTTTTTCTTTTTGGCAAAGAATGTATGTGTGGTTTACAGTGGTTGTCATTTTCTCCCTCCTCTGAACATTATTAGGTCACACATTTCTTACTTTCTTAATCTTAATCTGTGTGTGAAGTCAAACATGAATTAATATTGGGACGGAGGAGTAAGTCCAAGTGATTTGGATCTTACCAAGATAGGCTTGCTGGACATAACTGACCATCCCACTAGTTAGGCAACATTCAACAGACTAGATTGATTGAACTGGCAGGGGAAGGATTTGTTGTACTTCGATTAACCTATATCTTTAATGGGCTAAGATGAGCGCGAAATTGGAGCGAAACAGGCTCATTGGTTAAGTATATTAACCCATCAACTCTTTAGAGCTAAGGATTTGAGTTCTAAACGAGAATAATTGCATTCTCTATTGCAATATTGCTTTCCCAGATCAATGAGTAGCTACTTCTCGAGAATGATGTGTAATGTTTAAAAAAAAAATAGATAGACAATAAATTTTTAGCTTATCTGCAAAGATTTGAAACAATATTTATAATTTAAACAACAATCTTTGGTGTACATAAATTTGTACACACTTGACACACATTTGTATGTAATTGTCTATACAATGTATAGACCATCTAGTTGTCTGCGTACACATGCAGTTCATGCAAAAATTGTTCTTGTGCACATATAATTAGAACGTACAAATATGTACCAAGTGTGTACAAATTTTCGTGAAAAGAACTCTTCTAATTAAAATTACATACCGTAGCACTAGAAAACTACTTACATACGTAGTACTACGTAGTTACATACACCAATTTTTACTGGAAAGCTGAATGGAATTTAAATACGGAGTATTAAGGAGTGTAAAACTTTGATAGTCAAAATCAAATACGTACTACGGGTAATAAAATGATGTGAGTGCCTTATTGAAAGATGTCAACCTTTTGATGTTAAGAGTTTGAAAGATGTCAATATGATTCTAGTCTCTCGAAGGCTCGCTATTTTTTCTCTTATTGTTTGGAACGCGCAATATGACCACTTTCCGAACTGGTCGTATACGGCAATATAGACCCACTCAGGATGTTTTTACTTGGACTGTAATTTGCTGGTCTGGTCTGGTCTGGTCTGAACTGGTCTGGTCTAGTCTTGTAAGGTCTGGTTTCTTTGTATTTTTATAACTATCCAAGTCTGGTCTGGTCTGGTTTGGTCTGAATTGGTCTGGTCTGATCTGAACTGGTCTGGTCTGGGACAAATTACAGTCCAAGTAAAAACATCATCACACTATTTTACATGGCCGCCATTGGCCGGTCATTATATATCCATTTGAATGTGAAATAAAGATTCTACAACTTTCATCCGTTTAGAGTTTACAAAAGAGTTCCATGCACGGCCAGTTTGATATTTGACGTTCTATCGGCCAAACTCTTTATGAACTTAACGATTCTTAGCTTCATAATCTTAAAAGTAGTTTGTATATATGTACAATAGACTATAACAAAAGGCATAACAATGACATATATTAGGATACACTAAGAAGCTCTTCTCTTCACCTGATCTGAATGTTTCTGATCTGAATTTTTTAAGTTCTGATCTGATCTGAATGTTTCTGATCTGATCTGATCTGAATCTTTCTGATCTGGTCTGATTTGATCTGAATGTCCCTGATCTGATCTGAATGTTCCTGATCTGATCTGAATGTTCTTGATCTGATCTGAATGTTCCTGATCTGATCTGAATGTTCCTGATCTGATCTGAATGTTTCTGATCTGATCTGAATCCTTCTGATCTGATCTGAATCCTTCTGATCTGGTTTGATTTAAATATTTCTAAAATTATAATTATAATTTTATTTTTTATTATAATAATTAGAAATGTAATTACACATATATAATTTAAATATAATTACAATTATAATCATAATTATAAAAAATTATAATAATAATAATAATAATTATAATAGGTATAATTATTATTATGCGTATTACACTAGTTATAAATATAGCTATAATTAGAGTAAGCGGTCTAGCTGAGTTGGTCGCCGACTCACTCTCTCTTATGGGAGGTCTCGTGTTCGAAACTCAATGGAGTGAGTTTCAACCTAGTTTACTTCAGGCCCCCCCCCCCCCAGACCCCCTCCCCCAGACGTCTCCTAGAGTAAACAAAAAAAAGCTATGATTATAATTGTAATTATATTTTTAGTTATAATTATTTCAAATATTATAATTTTAATTATAATTATAATATTTATTTCTATAATTTTAATTGTAATTACTCCGTGTAATATAATAATAACAAAAACATACTAATAACAACAACAACAACCATAATAGTAATAAGAATAATAATAATAATAATAATCATGATAATAATAAATATCATAATAATAGTAATCATGATGATGATGACAATATTAATTATAATAATAATTACAATAAAAAAAAGAAGAATAATAATAATAATAATAATAATAATAATAATAAAAATTATAATTATTATTAATATTATTATAATTATTATTATAATAAAAGGGATAAATCATGTCTGAACTTTTCTGATCTGATCTGAATGTTCCTGATCTGATCTGAATCTTTCTGATCTAAATTTTTCTGATCTGATCTGAATGATTCTGATATGATCTGATCTGAATCTTTCTGATCTAAATTTTTCTGATCTGATCTGAATCCTTCTGATCTGAATAAAATAAGAATAAGCAATAAGTAATAAGATTAAGACGAACAGAACAGCTTCTAAGAGAATTCTTCTACTTTGTCACTTTTAATCTTCCGACTATTATGTCACTGATACTTTTGATAGACAACTTTAAATTTTTTTCACTTTTGATTCTTCGACTATTGTTCAAAACACACTTTTGATTAGGAGTGGGCATAACGGTTTTTCTTTCAAACCGTATTAAACCGAACCGAAACTGATAAAAACCGAACAAAACCAAACCGAACCAAAGAAACTCAAAAAAAATTCATATATTATTAACATTGGTGGTTTGATTTGGTTTGGTTTGGGTTTACTTTAGTAAATCGTTTGGTAAACATTTGCTCAAACCGAATGGTTTGGTACTTTAATTGGTTTGGTTTGGTTTAAAATGGAAAAACCGTAAACCGAACCGAACACCAAACAACATATACATATATACTCTGCATTTATCTTTTATCTTCATTTTTAAGATATAAATAAATAATTTAGACATGAATATGCATATTTAAGCATATACTCGTATCATTTTAATTTTTAAACATTTCATACATTCATTATGACAAAGTTAGCTAATACGACATATTTATACGACACATTATGCTTAAATGTTTTTAAGCATCTTATTCATTAAGTCTAGTTTACTCATACCAAATTTCAGCTAAAAATTTAATCGGGAAAACATTCAAATGAATTCTTGAAGATAACAGCGCTTTTAACGTCACAGTTATCTTCAAGAATTCATTTGAATGTCTTCCCGATTGAATTTTTATCTGAAATTTGGTATGAGTAAACTAGATTTAATGAATAAGATGTTCAAAATTTTCATCAAAAAATTCCACCGGGAGCCACCTCAAATGGCACGTCCGGACAGAATCTTCTATATAAGGACTTATTTGACCCCTTTTTTTGCAACTTCGAGGACTAAACTGACCCTTATCTAGGGTTGTATACGAACCGAATCGAGTCGAATAGTAGGATTTTGTATTTGTATTTGTTTAATTTTTTCGAATACGAATTCGAATTCAAATATGAAACGAATATTAATTTCGATTTGTATTTGTATTTGTTTAACAATGCGAATAGTTAACGAATCTTATACGAATATCGAATAGATTTGAGCATAGGTTAAATATTAGTCAAATATTACCTAAAATTAAATTTTCTTATATTTTTTTATGTTGTAAATGTACGCTATGATTTGATATGTGCTTTTAGAATTTAAATTTAATGGATTAATGCATTTTTAGATTGTGCACGATATACTAAAGTGAATCAATTTTATGATTAATAAATATAAATCTATTTCAAACTTTTTGAAATAAACACTAACATATACTCCCTCCGTCCCATTTATATTGTCCCGTTTTACCTTTTCGGGAAGTCTCATTTAAATTGTCACATACCATATTTGGCAAAGTTTGTGTGGCTCTAAATCATTCTTACTTTATCAATTAATATCAACCACACAAATCCACTTTTCTTAATAACTGTGCCACCCTCTTCCGTCCCAATATAAATGGGACGGAGGTAGTACATATTAGAAATTACACTTATAATGTGTGAAATAAGTTGATAATTGTATATATCAAAGTCAGACAACTCTAATTTTATTCTGCGAATCGAATACATAATTATTTGTATTGTATTTGAAAGACATTTGAACCAAAACTCCGATTTGTATTCATATTTATACTCTGATTTATTACAAATGTACTTAGAATTTGTATGCGTAAATGTATATATGAACTACACTTTAGGGTATTGCTATCTTTTAAAAGTTATTATAGTGTTATTACTGTTATTATTAATATTATTATTATTATTATTAATATTATCACTATTATTAATCGAATATATTTGATTAATATTCGAATCGAATACACTGCTATTCTTATTTGTATTTGATAAGAAATCGAATCAAATTTAATATTCATATTTGTATTTGAAATTTCCGAATTCGAATCGTCTTATACGAATTCGAATCACGAATCGAACACAAATTATTTGATTCGTTTACGACCCTACCCTTATCCCATTACAATAAGTTACCAAACTTTGTACGTATTACTGCTAGAGGATCATTGGTGTTGATCCTTGATAAAGAAAAAATGCCGCCACCTAAAATATACGGAGTAGTACTAGTAGTATTCGGTATTCCGTAATCCGTATCCCCATGCTTGGAAAAAGTCATATTCCCTATTCATGAAGAGAAATTCACAATACTCTGTATATGTTTCCACGAAGAATCAAACCTATGAATTTTCAATCAAACGTGCTTTTCCATTCCAGAATAATGACCACCAAGAAACAACCAAGCCGCCGTCTATTCTGCTTCTTTCTAATTCCAAACCTTCTTCTAACCTCCATAGCTATCTCGATTGACACCATCACTCCCACACGTCCCCTCACAGAAAACCAAACTTTAGTCTCCGCCGGCGACCTCTTTGAACTAGGATTCTTCACTTCCGGCAACTCCGGCAAACGGTATATCGGGATATGGTATAAGAAAGTAAAACAGAGAACAGTCGTTTGGGTCGCAAACAGAGACAAACCACTCACAAATTCCCCGGGTTTATTGAAAATTGGTGAAGATGGGGGAATCCATTTGGTAGACAGCATAGGCGATTCTATATGGTCATCACTGAATCAGACAAATCTCCCGGTTCCAACAAACAACACAGGTATTGCTCAGCTCCTAAATTCTGGGAACTTTGTTCTTCGCAAAGAAAATGATGGAAACACAGAGGATTACCTCTGGCAAAGCTTTGACCACCCGACGGACACACTCTTACCTGGAATGAAGCTAGGATGGGATTCAAAAACAGGGCTTAATCGATATATAACATCTTGGAGAAGCCCAATCGATCCATCTGAGGGGGATATAAGCTTCAAGCTGGACATCAATGGCTACCCAGAAGCATTCTTGAGGAATAAAGGCTCAGTCTCTTATAGAAGTGGAGCCTGGAATGGGAAGCGATTCAGCGGAGTCCCAGAAATGGAAACAGAAGGAGTCATCAGTTTCTCCTTTAAGAGGACTCAGGAAGAAGTTTACTACTCATTCGAGATCCAGAATCAAACACTGTATTCAAGATTGATAGTGAATCAAACAACCGGGTATCTGGAGCGGTACACTTGGGTCGCGGAGGGTCTCAATTGGAACCGATTTTGGTACGCGCCGGAAGATCAATGCGACAATTACAGAGAATGCGGTGCCTTTGGGTTATGCGACACCGAGAAGTCACCGGTTTGCGGGTGTTTGGTCGGGTTTCAGCCCAGAAACCAGCAGGCTTGGGGTTTGCGGGATGGGTCGGGCGGGTGCATTCGGGTCGACAAATTGGAATGCGAAGGGGATGGGTTTTTGGCTTTGAACTATACGAAGTTGCCGGAAAGTGGGGGTGCGTTTGTGGATGAGAAGATGAGTTTGGATGAGTGCAAGGGGGCGTGCCTTAAGAATTGCTCCTGCACGGCTTATACCAACGCTAATGTCAGCAATGGCGGGTCGGGTTGCGTAATTTGGACGACGGAGCTTCTCGACATGCGCAATTTTTCGGCTATCGGTGACCAACTTCTTTAGGTTCGCGTGGCTGCTTATGATGCAGGTTAGCTTTGTTCTCTCTTTCCCTAGTTTTGTGTGGCATTAGTTATTAGTGATTAGCGGTTAGCGGATCACGGATTGTGTTAATTGGTTGTTAATTGGGTTGCCAGAAAATGTTGTCAATTTAGCCATTTGGCCATAAAATTAGTGGAAAGCGTCGTATTTTAAAACGCTTACTCAAAATTCTCTTATTTGCAGCATTTTCATGTCATCATTTTCGTCCAAAAACACCAGTGCTGAATAGTTATTTACGAAACGTTAAAAGTGATTAAATGGTCATTGTTTGGCTAGAATGCCATTTACCAAACACGCCCTTTGATTTCTTCTTTTTCATGTGTTTCATTGAATTTATCTCATATTATTTGAGATAAACAATTTATCAATCACTAGTCACATAAATTTACCTATGAAGAGTTATATGAGGAGTTAGTTTTACATTACAAAACTAAAAATGAAATAACATATAGGGTCATAGGGCGGGAGTGTGTAACTATGGAAGTAGAATTGCAAATGAATATTGAGCATATAAGAGTAAGTTAGTAGCGACGATGTTATAGCCAACCAACTAATGACATGTCATACATCATTTTTTGCGTAGTAAAATGTTTTTAATTGGAATATAATTTTCTCATCTAGTCTAATATATGTTAGTTATATGTGAATTTTACAACTATCGAAATTTGATTTGATTTGGTCCGATTTGATCTGATAAAATCTTATATGGCCTTGTCTAGAAGCAAAACGGTTTCAATTAAAAACATCCACAAACCCACACCAATTCGTCATTTCACAATAACACATGATGGGTCATATTACGTAGTATTGATTTGGATGTGAAGAATAAATTATATCACTTTGATCATATATGGTTTGTTTACTTAGAAGTGAACTCAGGGGCGGCCTTCATAATTTCAAGGCCTAGGGGCAAATAGTTTATAATGGGCCTAATTTTATAAAAAAAATATAAAAAATTATTTTTTGTCTAATCTAATGCATAAAAATAATACTTCAAAAATTGTATAATAAAGAAAAGACTTTTATAATTCGCCGTATGAAGCAAGTAAAATTATAGTTAGAGAACATTTTTGTTACACCTTGAAATTTATTATTTATAAATTTAATGAAAATCCATTTTTCTACTGAATTTTTTTTAAAACTATCACGGAATGATTTAATTTTATCATCCATAAACCTTAAAATTCAAAAATTGCAACTCAAATCGGGACGGAGGAAGTATAAATGTGAATTTGCGATTTCACGATCAATGAGTCAAAAACTAGGTGATCAATCAACGAAAATGTAAATTCAATGAAAACTAAAAAGGGTGAAAAGCTATGATAAGTGATCTTGAAATAAGTAAGTAGAGCATAAATGCAAAATATACAAGGACTTAAGAGTAATAAAGGATATAAACGACTCCAGGTTATCAAAAGTTAGAATCCTATGTTCGCATTAGGAAGGATAAAAAGCTCAAGAAGTTGATGTATCAACTATATATGGTCTATTGAGTATTGACCGGTGGAAGTTTATAATGAGGAATTGGAATATTGAGGTGTTAACTTTGAAGCACTGAGGGCCTAAATGATGGTTCAGTGCTAGGCACCAATCTAGCACAGAGTCGTGTTTTTTTTTTAGAAAAAATGTTTATGCCTTCAGAAGTCTTTTCCCTATGCCGCACAAAGTTAGTGGATATAGGCAAAAAATTCAGCCTACTCACTCTTAATACAAAGTCTTAAGATTGGGCCTAAATTTTTTACACTTTTTTTGGGCCTAGGGCGCCCGCCCCTGCTGCACCCCCTAGGGCCGCCCCTGAGTGAACTTAAGCTTTTGTAGTTTTAGATTTAGGACTACTTCGTTTTTTGGTGTCACCAGCCTAATTTTAAAAAGAACTTATTTTAGAACCTCTGTATATTGAACGTTTGGAAGTTAAGTTTATTTTGTGAAGCAAGTTTAACATATCATCTAAGTTAACCTTCATTCAAATACTTTTTTGTTGATTAGAGTCAACCTAGTTTCTTACCGAACAACAATTCTACATATGCATATTTGTTCTCCTAAGTTTACCCTTTAAATTTTGGCTTCAAAAATGTTATGAAGTTGTACTAATTACATTTCAATGTTCCATGTTTAGAACAAAATGGGAATGCTCCAAAAGCCCGAGATAGGTTTGGCAAGAAAAAATTGATAACATTGGCATGTGGCATTATACTTGGGATTGGAGTTATAATGTCTGGGTTGTTTTTGTGGAAGAGAAGAAGATCACCGAGAGCTGTTGCGGCAAATATATACCTCGGAGGTTATAATACTATTCACAAAATTCATATGCATTTAGTAACTTAATAAATTGAGAGATTATAATTGGATGGGTCATTTAAAATCTGTATTAAGTCGATTTACCGGTATAACCAAATCCTTTTTAACTCACATCATATATCTTCTTCAAGCAGGCGTAGGAAAAAGAAGTGAAGATCTACTAATGGTTGACACTCCTATCATAAAAAAGAGAGAGCTTTCTGATGAAAGAATTATGGCAGATGAGTTTGAATTACCTTTATTTGATTTTAGCACCATCTTCGAAGCAACAAGCAATTTTTCCAAAGAAAATAAGCTTGGCCAAGGTGGTTTTGGCTCTGTCTACAAGGTAATACATAGCTATTTGAAATGATTTACTCTTCCATATAAGTAATATAATTAGGATGTTTTCACTAAACTCATTTTGTTCTGTTAGACCAAATCAAACAAGAACAAAGACTTGAATGAAAGTCACCACTCTACACCAAATTTAGATAATAGTTAAATACATGCACTTCTAGACTCGAGCAAACTAGTTAAAAATTAATTAGTTTAGCCCAAAGTAGATTAGATTTAAATAGACAAGATTACACCATTCAAAATTTCAGATCAAGTTAAAACATGTTTAATAAGTTGCTATGTTGAAATATTTCTCAAACAAGATCCTAGACTACTCATCCAATGAAATTGACCATATCGGATGGAACATCCGGTTTTAACATGTCGAAACAATTATGATTGAAATGTTGACAGGGAACGCTCATTGGCGGTGAAGAAATTGCAGTGAAAAGGTTATCGGAGAAGTCTAGACAAGGAGTAGAAGAATTCAAAAATGAGCTCACATTGATTGCAAGACTCCAACACAGAAATCTTGTCCGGCTTATTGGTTGTTGTGTTGATAACGATGAGAAAATGTTGGTATACGAATACATGGAAAACAAAAGCTTGGATTCTCTTTTATTTGGTAAGTTCTATCATTTATATTGGGTTTCATCTTGACCTAAAAAGCAACCGTTAAAACGAATAACTCAAGTTGTTGAATGTTTTGTAGTTTTTATTTTTTTTATCAATGCGGGTGGTTGAATATGTTTGACCCTGTCTCACTAATGTTAATTATATATATATATGCTTGTGCAGATAAACACAAAAGCTCACTACTCGACTGGAAAAGGCGTTTCAACATCATCTATGGGGTTGCTCGTGGACTTCTATATTTGCATCAAGACTCGAGGTTTAGAATTATCCATAGAGATCTTAAAGCAAGCAATGTTCTCTTGGATAACGAGATGAATCCTAAAATATCAGATTTTGGCATGGCAAGAATATTTGGAGGTGACGAAACAGACGCCAACACTACAAAGAGAGTAGTCGGAACATAGTAATAATCATTGGAACCATTACTTTCAATTTAATTCTAATTAACTCCAAAAAATGACTACTTTTTATACTTTTCTTTAACTCACATTTACTTTTCTTCTATTAGTGGGTATATGTCACCAGAATATGCAATGGATGGACAATTCTCTGTAAAATCTGACGTTTTTAGCTTCGGAGTTCTAGTGCTTGAAGTAGTTAGCGGGAAGAAGAATCGGGGATTCTATCAACAAAACGAACAAGAAAACCTACTTAGCTTTGTAAGTGCGTAATGGTTTAGAAATGGGCCAATTGGTTGATTCTTTGAGAAGAATTCAAGTGCACCAAGAGCATTGAACATAGTCACTAGTTTTTATTGGGATTCTATAAGAAGTAACTCAAGATGTAATGTGTTAGTTTGTAACTTATATATTTTGTATGATAATGTTTTAGGCTTGGAGTTTGTGGAGAGAAGAAAGAGCATTAGAACTACGTGATTCAGCTATGGAATTACAATCACATTCAGGATTTGAGGAAGATCAAGTCATGAAAAGTATACAGGTGGGTTTACTATGTGTGCAAGAGAAAGCTGAAGATAGACCAACAATGGCAGCTGTGATATTGATGTTGAGAAGTGAAGGGGCTTTGCTTCCCCATCCTAAACCGCCTGGGTTTTGTGTGATGGATAATAGGCATGTAAAACCACATTCATCTCCTAATGTTGATAATAATGACCAAACTTTTAACAAACTTACAATCACCAATTTGGATGGTAGATAATGATTGATTCATTACCGTGTTTGTATATTTGTGTAAGCACAGTTACTACACAATTTTGAGAATTGAATGATTTGTAGATGTGTTGCATTTAGTAATTAAATACTTGTAGATTATTAATATAATCTTTTGTAATTACTTGATGTATTGGTAAGCAAACTCTGGCTAAGCTTACCTTAGTATTACAAGCTAAGTTACGAACTAATTGAGTTTGGATAAGTAGAGCATATATACAGCTGACTTCAGTTTGCTTCAGGAAAGATGACATCAAATGAACTGCCGATTCAAATGGGAAGTGAAAGTTCGGGGTGAAAGTGCACTGGTGATACAAGTAAAACTTTTTATAAAATTATCTTAAAACTCTTCAAATGATAGGAATTTATTATTTTAAAAATGTATAATTTCCAAAATGTTTTATGATTACTGATGATTTGTTTTCTGAATGTGTTTTTTGTTTATTAGTATTAAGGATAAAAAAATCACTTTGACACAAATATGGCAGGAGTCGCGAGACCTCCATAACTATACTTTTATCTTCAAATTTTGTTGTAATATTGTAATATTTTGGGAATTCGTCTCAAATAGTGAGAAAGAAAATAATAAGAGAAGATTTGATATGGAGTATTGTTTATAATTTTTAAAGTATTTACAAAATATTCAAGCATTAAGTTTAATCCACACTTGAAATGCTCGTGTCAGTTTAACTTCTTTAATAATTCAGTGTGCAAAAATTATAGTTGAAACTGTAAGAAAGTTACATCCAGGACTATTTTTTTTGGCAATAGGCTCTTTTTATTAGTAAATTCATTTTAATTAATTTTATTTTCATAAATTTAATTAAACTATAACTACTATATTCATAAATTTAATTAAACTATAACTACTATATTCATAAAATTAATTAACCTATAACATCTTTACTACTATTTCGAATTTGTTACTCCCTAGAATATTATAAATTATGTGGAGTAAATTGGAAAAATGAAAACTTTGGCTTTTTAACATGAAAAGTTTGGCTCGAAAAATATTGGAAATAATATGAATAAGTTAATACATCGTTAACTATCAAAACTTAATGTATTATTAACATTAAACATCATCAACTTTTTTTTTGGTAAAGTTATACATCATCAACTATTATTAATTACCTCTAAACATATCATCTTCTTTACAATTTATCTAAAAAAGACTCAAACTTCCCATTTTTATTCAATGTTCTTTTCCAAATTCAGTATTGTTTCTAAGTTATAAATAATATATGCAGTATAAACATAGTTTTATTTTGTGCTGGTGAAAATAGTAACAATTATCACTAATTATTTTTATATTTTAATCAAGTACAATTAGAATAATAAAGGTGTCACACCCAGGGCTGAGCCAGCACACTAGGCCTGACTGGGCTGATGCAAAGAATATTTGTGAGAAAAATTTTGCCTAGAATTTTTTATACTAAAAATAAAGGCATTTTTTAAATTCGGGCTGGGTCAGGGCCAAGGTTGGTCCACCCCTATCTCCGCCCCTGGTCACACCCAATCATAAAGAAAAGAGATTTTTCTCAAAATGTTACTAACAAAGAAAATTATGAACAAAAATGTAACTTAATACCTTTTATTAAAAGTTCTCTATTTTAAAATGAATAGTTTAATTTACTACACAATACGCATTATTGTTTGTTACTGTACTATAAATATTAGAATATTGTATATTTTAAATTTGATGTACATTAGGTTCAAGAACCGATTAAGGGGGGCGGGGGCGATCGCCCATTTGGGCTTTCAAAATTTTCTAATATATGTGTAATATTTTCATAAAATTTTAATAGTTTCATTAGATATATATGTTTTTGCCCCCCACCCCTTTATTTTTAGTTTTCCAACTTAATATATAATCTTACATAATGCAATACTTGATTGGAGTTTTTAAAGAAGAAACATCAATTTAATTTACATAAGTTAAAAAAAAATTGAACAATTCATTGTTTAAGACTTATAATACTTATTATATTTGTGTGGAGGAGCGATCTCGCATTATCTTTTCCCCTCATCTTTTTTTCTTGTTTTCTATCCTTATATATATAAACATTTTTTTAAAATCCTTTTTTATTTTATCATTTTTAGGTATATTCATCTCTTTTTATATTATCTTTTTCATAATAACTTATCTTTTTTATCGTTATTTTCTTTGATTTCCTTTTGGTGGTGATATCATGTATCGATTCATGTTAGCTGACCCCAATATCTTTTGGGACTAAGGCTTGATTGTTGTTGTTGTTGTTGTTGTTGATACTACCTCCATCCCAATTTGATGATACCATTGCGGTTTACGATGTTTGACCAACGATAAGCAAATGGATCCCTGTCCGCACTCAAATGTTTTTAGAAAAAAAAACTACGTCTTCAGAAACTTCATACAAAGTCGCAGAAACCATAATCAAATTTGACAAAAATTTGATATATAACGTAAGAGATTAAGAGTGATTTGTGTCGACCAAGTGAATAAGAACTAGTACCATCAAATTGGGACGGAGATAGTAATTAGTACTCAATTTTGTAAAATATCAAACAATATTAAATATCACGCACACTAGTTACACAGTTCTTAGATCATGTGAAATAAGTCGAAAATATAAATGTATATTGACAAATTACACAATCCATTTATTTCTTACTTTCTAATAACAATTTATTGCATAAATAATAAACTTTAACTTATTTTATCATTAATACAAAAATAATATGCACCATATATATGAATTAGAAATATAATTAGATTAAAAAAATAATAATCACATACATACTATTGTAATATTAAGAAAACTTCCTATGACACACAAACACCCTCATTGGTGGAAAAAAGTTGCAATTCAAAAATCAATTCTTTGTTCCGATAAGATTCATGTGGTTAAATAATGCAGAAGTTGTTTTAAAAGTATTGGTGGAAGTGTGACTTTTAAACTTTTTATCTATAAATAATTGGATAAAATGTTATATATCCTTTTTTATTTTTAAATAATTTCCCTTTGATTTGTCATTTCTTATGCTTTAATGTATCAATACTTTTTTCTAGAACACTTTAATTATCAAATTAAATCTATATTTCCATTGTCTAAACTTAGAATGTAATAGATTTAAATGTCGTCGTGTATGTATTAATGAAATTTTTTGAATAAAAAATAGCCGTAGAGATCTATACCAGCTATAAAATTTCACTCCGCTACACTAGTGAATTTTTTAGCCCGCTACATTAGTGAATATTTTTTCACCCACTATACTAACAAAAAGAATTTCGCCTTCTTGACTCGAAATCATGAATCCATCCTTGATTAGGTGATACCTTACATACCATTTTTTTTGGTATTTGCATTTCCTATGTTTCCGGTTCAGATTAAAAACTAGCTAGTTCTAGCTTAACCGAAAACAGAGTACACGTCTATATAGATGTATGCATGTTTCTAGCTTCGAGTCAACTCTCAGGAGACGTTTACATCGCTACTAAAGTCACAGTTATGTTAGTAAGACATGTGAAGTAAACACGCACGCTGCTTAAAAAGCCGCTTACTAACCGAAATAGCTGCTTAAAGTGCCGCTTACTAAGCATATCATCCCCATGTATTAATTAAGCGGCACTTTAAGCTTTTTCAATTTCCGAATTTACTCATTTCACTTACTCTTATTGCTACTCCCTACCCTACTACCCTACCCCCACCCCCCACCATAGGCCCCGCCTCGATCCATACCCTACCCCTACCTCAGCCCCACCCGATCCTGACCCCACCCTACCCCTACTCCCACCCCTACCTTACCCTGACCCCAACCCCACCCACCCACCCCAACCTAGGCCCTTACCACCTTACCCCAACCCCCTACCCCCCACCACATCGACCCCACCATATCCTATCCTACCCTACATTACTCTGACCCTAAGCCTTACCCTACCTACCCCACCCCACCCTCTTACCCACCCCTACCTTACCCCACCCCCAAACCCTAGGCCCTTACCACCTACTCCAACCCTAACACATCGGCCCCACCCGATCCCGATCCCAATCCCTACCCCTACCTTACCCTGACCCCAACCCCACTGACGTGCACTTTGTCGTGTGTGCACTCAAAATAATTCGATACTAACAACTATACGTAGTATAGCGTAGTAGAGTTCGTATCCACAGGGAAAGGAATAACTCTCTTTTTATGTAACTAGTAACTAAAGGGGGGGTTTTGATTGAGTGATTTAATTAAATTAAACACGAAGATGAACGAGTTATATGGGATTAAATTCAAGAATAGAAGGGTCTTGGTCTTGCTACTTTCCACTTGTTGATATATTTTAGTCGATCATTGTTATATCTATAACTTATCCCCTCTCGAATACTCAATCACGGAGTATCTCCAATTCATCGAGGGTAGTTATTAACAACGACCGTTCATTAATAACCCTTACTATTAATCAAATATAGAACAACGCCGTATACCGATATAATAGTAGCATTTAACCTCTTTAACTCCTTGATGAAATCAATTGAGATTGATAATCTCAACACAACGGTTTCGGTTTAACCAACAAAATTAATCCCTCTTAAGTTTATTAACCACGACCGTGCATCAATAAACCGAAGTTACTTACTTGTGAAACCATCAACGATTAACCATCGGTTCGTTGATCATTTCTAGTAATAATTAATATCGGAACGTTAACTAATCGTCACTTAGCAACCCTCCAACATTAATATAGAATGAGGTTAAGGGAAGAATTAATAATCAAGAGGAGAAAGTAAGAAAATAACTCACAACTTTAATAATCAACAAGCTTCAAGAGCAAAACCAAGAAATGGAAATTTAACTCCTCATTTGGAGACTAAACATGCTAGAAGAAATATAAAGAAATGCTATTCTAAACTGAGCTTAAGAGTATAAAGGAATTGGTCTCTAATTGTGAAGGGAAGGAGGTGTATTTATAGGATTTTTGGGAGTGCAGTTCGGGTACCCGATCGAGTACTGGTGTATACCCGATCGGGTATGTGTAAAAAGGGTAGTTTTGAGGCATACTCGATCGAATTCGGAGTGAAAATAAAAGGTATACCCGATCGGGTATATAGGTGTACCCGATTGGGTATTACAATTGATCGTGGCCAAATCTTCCCCTGCACACCCTTTTGTCTCCTGATTGATCTGATTGAAAGTCCAGTTGATACCCGATCGAGTATATGGTATACTCGACTGGGTACAGGTCAAAAATCAGGATTTTGCCTCCTTTTTGTCTTGTACTCTTGCATCTTTCTTCACCAATGATCATTTGATTGATCTTGGACCTG